GAAACATGAGCCTTGGATCGACTGGCGAGGCAAGGCAATTGGTGCCAGCCGCCCTGCAGTGACCGACAGAGCATTGGTGAGTCATGTTCCCACCTCTGTCAGGACCTGGGGCGCCCGCAAGGGCCGCCAAGGTACCGAAGCATCCAGCGGATGCTTAGGAGTCGTCAACGTATACGACGACTCCGAGGAAGCTTCGAAGGTGGCGACGCAGGCAGGCGTCCGCCAAGTTGGTAACTTAGGTGGACGGCCAGCGGTGCCACCGCTGTTTCCGTTAGATTGGAATCATTGGGGCACACGAAGTATTACTTCGCCTGATCGCTTCGCTTCATGGCACAGCCCGCCGTTGATCGACTGCGTGGACGCTCTTGCATAAACATCCATACACATGAAGTTTTCTGCTTGGAACCTGGGCAAGAACGCCTGCGCAGTCGATCTACCTCAGGCTTTACATGAAGCAAAGCGATTTGGCCCAGCATAAAAACACGCCCATAGTCTTTCATTTACGCATACCACGTATGACATACGACGTAGTTGACCGTTTTCATGGTATTTTCGTTTATTGAGAGGCGAAGTTGATTCAGAAAATAATCTACTTACATGGCTTCTTCACGTCACTTTGCGTAGGCCACCAGTCACTATATTTACACGCATAGTTGTGCCCAGTTAGCCAAATCTGCGGACTATCTACATTTGCGATTTGACATTGTGTAAAGTCTACAGGGTTCCAATAGGATTGGTTAGAGTGTTTAACCAGCTAAAGCTGTCCTCCTAGTCAAACATTGTAAACTTAACGTTGTTTTATCAATCAACCAGACTCCAAACGGATTATTTTGAAATTTGGAGCCTCAAACCGAATCCCATGTATTTTTGAAATTATTTGGACCCCGAATCGGATTTCCCCAACAAGAAATCGTGGTTGAAGCTGAAGTGATTTGTTAAACGCTAGTTGTTTAACAAAAGGATGGTCGTCATCACCTGTTTGTCCTCAGCGATGCAACTGAGCTGCAGCTGGACATATAGCGATCACCACCGCTAAACATGAATATAACCACCGCTCGGTGGTACGTTTTTGGCAAAGTTTTTGTGCTTCCGACAGACAGACTGCAACCTGTGGGGCTGTAACGAAAATTGCAAGCGCTGTATCCTCCAACCTGAAGCTGTATTGACAAGTCTCCTTTTGTACTACGATCTTTTGTCCAGGCCATTCTAGTCTGGGATCCAGACGCATCCCACAGACACACGGCACTCAGATACCACTACACTACCGGATGTATGTAGCAGTTGGAAGCTCCCTCGACACAACTTCAAGAATGACGTGTCAACCTTGTAGTTCCAACCGGTCCCTGCTAGACACCGTAATCTCAACGACCTCCGTTTGTGAAACCTGAGCGAGACCTCACTCATTCACTATTTTGCTGCCTCCTGCGCAGCAACTATCAACACCATCAAGATGCTTCGTCGCTCGCTCCAATCCAAGACCCTCGTCACTCGCGGTCGTCATGCGGTGCAGGCTTCCTTTGCTCGCGCTCTCAGTTCCTCTGCAACATCGGCTGAATACGACTATGTCATCGTCGGCGGTGGCTCTGCTGGTTGCGTTCTCGCCAACCGCCTAAGCGCTGATCCGACCAACAAGGTGCTGCTCGTGGAATCTGGACCCAGCGATGTGGGTAAATGGGACTCAGTTCGCATACACATGCCTGCTGCACTGGCTTACAACCTTGCGGACGACCGGTACAACTGGGACTACTACACTGAGCCCCAGAAGAACTTGGATGGTCGCCGTATCCCGTGGCCTCGAGGACGTGTACTTGGAGGTTCGTCCTCTATCAATGCGATGGTCTACAACCGTGGACACGCCTTCGACTTCGACGATTGGGAGAAGAGTGGTGCCAAGGGCTGGAGCTACGCGGACTGCCTGCCGTACTTCAAGAAATCAACGACCCACGATCTTGGAGAGGACGATTACCGTGGTGGTAACGGTCCAATACGTGTGACGAGGAAGACGCAGGACAAAGCGCAGCCTCTTTTCCAAGCGTTCATTGATGCCGGTGTCCAAGCCGGATATCCAGAAGCAGAGGACATGAATGGATACCAGCAAGAAGGACTCGGCTGGATGGACATGACGATCCACAAGGGTAAGCGGTGGAGTGCTGCTGCTGGTTACCTACACCCGGCAATGGATCGCAAGAACTTGACTGTGATCACCGATACGTTCGTGAATAAGGTCATTTTCGAAGGCAAAAAGGCTGTGGGTATCGAAGTCGAGGACAACAAGTCCAAGACCGTCTCACAGATCCGAACGGCAAAGGAGATCGTCCTCTCGAGTGGAGCAATCAACACTCCGCAGCTGCTCATGTTGTCTGGTGTTGGTGACGCAGAGCACTTGAAGGAAATGAACATCCCTCTCGTTCACCATCTTCCAGCAATCGGCAAGAACATGGAGGACCACCTTGGCACGTATCTCCACTTCGAGTGCAAAAAGCCCATCACTCTGTACAACGCGACGTGGCGCTTCCCTCATAAGATGGTCGCGATCGCTCTCGAATGGCTGACGTCGCAAACCGGCCCCGGATCCTCTTCACAAATTGAAGCTGGTGGCTTCATTCGAACGTAAGTTAAACACCCTCTACGTGTATTATTTGATGATCACCTTTGTACTAACATTTATTAATTATAGGGCTCCTGGTAAAACCCACCCGGATCTGCAGTATCACTTCTTGCCGGGATCTATCGATGAGGGACTTCACGTTCGTGCTGGTCACGTTATGACTGGCCACTGCTCGACGATGCGAGCAACTAGCCGTGGTTACATCAAACTCCGCAGCAAGAATCCGCGCCAACACCCGATCATGGAGCCGAACTACCTCGACACACACGAGGACATTGTGGACATCCGCAACGGTGTTAAACTCACTCGCGAAATCTTCAAGCAGAAGGCCTTTGACGAGTTCCGTGGTGACGCATTGTCACCTTCGGACAGTGCCCAGACAGACGAAGAGATCGACGCTTGGGTGCGGCAAAACGCTGGTACAGTCTACCACCCGTCGTGTACTGCTCGCATGGGCGAGGGCGAAAACACTGCGGTTGACTCTGAGACTCGCGTACACGGCATGGAAGGCCTACGTATCGTGGACGCGTCTATCATGCCCAACATTGTTAGTGGAAACCTCAATGGACCGGTGATCATGATGGCGGAGAAGGCTGCCGACATTATCCTGGGCAACCCTGCACTACCCAAGTCGACTGCACCTGTCTACCAGGCAAAGAACTGGGAGACTAACCAACGTTAAAAAGGGGCTTCGGAGCCGTGCGTCGACGTACTTAATGGCTAATCAATGTTCGTATTGTTAACACAGCATTAATACATGTACTCACCTTTGGCCAAGCTCCTTTGATCGCGTTCGAGCGCGCTGAAGCATCTCGATCTTCGGTATTGGCGTTTGAACCTTTTACTTCAACAATAAGTGCTTCACGATGTCCACGTAGCCCAGATGACAGGCATACTCCACCGCCGACCACGACACGGTCGTGGATTCGATCTCTAGCATCACCTCCACCTCGATTCGGGCATCAATTTTGTCCACATCGTTGTCCACGACCTCCAGTAATTCCTCGCAGTCGTCAACTGATCCTTCACTTGTCTGTACCGCATAAACGTAAGGAAAGGAGTTGATATCTCCCAACAACTTAACCCTTGTCGGGGTCAATGACTTTGCTAGTGATGGTGGCTTGCCCACCATTCGAGTTGCAAGACTGTCACCAACCTTTTGATACCCGAGTAGGTAGGCGTATTCAGCCGCACATACAGATTCACGGCTAGTGGAGTATTTTGATACTCGAAGTGGCATGATGGAGTTGGGGTCTTCATTATTGTCCAATCCATCCAAGAGATCGAGAAACACGGCAAGTGACCCATCGCTGGAATGTACTGCAAAGTGATACGGGAAATTCTCAATGCCGTCTGCATATACAGTAGAGTCCTTTAGCACAACGTCTCTGTCTTCTGGATTTTCGTTTTGATTCGAAGCAATCGACTCTTGTCCTTGCTGTTCCTCCTGCGAGGCCGATACTCGAAAAACAGCAAGTGGCTGATCATGGATTAGGAGTGCAAGAGGTACCAACGTTTCTGGACTGATGTACACAGGTACACTTTCTGAAGATCTATCATAATCGAGAATAGTTAAGAATTGGCTATCGGTCTGAGCTTTCAAGACTTCAGGCAGTTCGCCGAGTACGTCGGGAAGCTCATTCTTTTCTCTGCGAAAGTTCCGTTCTATCGCTTCCAATTCCTTCACCATGGATGACATGTCTTGTTCTTCGATCTCCATGTTCTTAATTAGAGCTTGTGCCTCGCTAACGTCGGCGAACTCGAGATTCACAGCGAGTCCTTGTTCTTCGCATTGACAGACCAATTCGGGGTGTTGGAGCAGAATATTTTGTCGTAGTGCAGTTTCAAACTCGTCGCTTGGAATCACAAGTTTCTCCAGCTGCTACTGGACAACTGACTTCAAAGTACCAGTGGCTGCGTCTCCAGCCAGGAACTTGACAATATCCCCGTCCTCGTACACCTCGTTGAAAATTTTGACTGGGTTCGCTAAATCAATTAACGTGCCAACGGCCCCGTTTAGTATCGGCGCGAACGCAAACCCCACCAGCGACGTAATGATGTTACAACCCATCTTCAAATGCTGCACTCTCTTTTCCTGCTCCAACCGCTGTACGTAAGCCTTCCGGAACAAGTCGAGACTCGACGCAATGGTACAAATGTGTGCCTCATGGTTGCCCAGTCGTCGGTGAAATGCACAGAGGCTCGATACAATTGCTTGAATATTCGAGTCGCTGTGCTCAAGTTGTCGTTTGATGCCAATAATCGTTGACTCCCCCAGTTCCAACCGCCTTTGGAATGAACTGATTTGGTCAGTGAGAGCTCGTGCGTAGGATACGAGGTTAGTGATCACTTTGGTGTGTTTTGTCACTTGATCTTGGAGCGTTGTTAACCGAGTTTGTCACCTCTTGAATGACTTGGCGGTTCTCCATCACCATGGAATGGATCTCCTTCATACTTTCTGTTATCATCGAAATGTGCTGATCGTGGATATCCAGACGCCAGTTGTTCCGATGAACTTGTTTTTTCAGCTCGACTACCCACCCAGCACTCTCCATGTTGACTTTGTCAGCCTTGAGCTTCCACAACATACACTGATCGGGAGATACCAGATTCATCTTTGAACAGTGCTTGCGTACGTGGTGGAAGAAGACGCAAGCATGATCGTCTAGGACCAGCTTGTTGGAGAGAATGTGATCGACCGCACTCTGAATTAGCTCTCTCACTTGAGATCTTGACCTCTCTGAAGAAATGTCCTCCATCCTCGACGCAAACGTCAACAGCATCCTCAAATCGTAGACCGACGTGATCAGTGGAACTAGAGCTGTTAGTTCATTGCATGAGATGGTATCACTTGGTTTTTCCAACAATGCGAGACAGCGGTCGTAGAATTGTTGACTTGATTTGTACAGCTCTAGAACAGAGCGAATGCTGTCAGAGCAGCAGATTGAGAGAGGAGTGTCACCACATGAGGTAACTGAGTCCACTCGAGCCCCGTTCTCCAGCAATACCTTCACCAGGTTCTCAGATTGGACTTGTGACGCAACAAAAAGTGGCGTGTGGCCATCCTGGTCGTAGATATTGACGTCGGTTCCTGCTTCGATCAATACTTGAACAAACGCGTAGTTTTCGAGTAACACTGCATGCAACAGTGGTGTCTTGCCCTCGTACATTCACTTGAATATCCGAATGAGATAAGAGCAGGTCGACAATTTCGTTATGGTTGGCCCGTACTGCTAAGTGTAGCGGCGACCACGTTTGGATAGTATCTCTTTTTGCAGCGTAATCTAGTCGAGTAAGCTGATTCACGTTCGTTCCATCCACAAGCAGTCTTTCAACAATCGACAAGTTTCCGCTATTGACTGCGACGTGTACAGGCGTCCACCCGAACTTGTCGATTGCATCCACTATGACAGGTTCATGAAGCAAATACTCGACCACTTCGATGGCCCCGGGGCCCGAACTCGCTGCTGCGTGATGCAGAAGTGTACGACCATCGAGACTCGAGTAACACAAGTCTGCTTCCCGACGATGCAGCCTCCGGACCACCTCCACTAGACCTGCCAAGGCTCCAAAATCTACCGGCCGCAACCCAGCAGCATCAATCACATCCGGGTTAACGTGGTGATCTAGTAGGAACTCCAAGGCGGCCATATTCCCATTTAGTGCAGCGAAGTGCAGCGCCGTACAACCAGAGTCGTCTCGATCATCGACACTTGCACCCTCATATACCAGGAGTTTCAGAATCGCTACTTGGTTGTGTTGCAGCGGCGAGTATTGGCGTTGCTCCGACAGTATCGCGGATATTGAGGTTGTAGGTAACACATTGCTGGACAGCGTGGATATCACCGCTTTTCACGTACTCGAAAAAATGTGGATCTGTTGTGAAAGACTCAAGAACTCTTGCTGCTTCGGAGTGATTGTTCGATCTTGCTACAGCGCGCGCAGTTTTTCCTTGTTTGTTGACAATCGAAAAATCGGCTCCTGCATTAAGTAGCACTAAAGCAATATCCCCATGGCCATTGGACATGGCGTGCATCAAGGCTGTGTTATCGTTATGGCAAACGAGATCGAGGGGGGCACCATAACGCACCAGTATGCTTACAATCTTATGGTGACCCTCATGAGCAGCAGCCATCAGAGCTGTCCACCCATTGTCGCATTTAACCAGGTCAGCATTAGCCTTGGCGTTCAATAGAATCATAACAATCGCAGCATGACCATTCGTCGCAGCCTGGATCAATGCAGTGCTGCCGTTGCGATCGCTCTGGTTAACGTTGGCCCCTGCGTCCACGAGTGTCTTCACCACGCCCGCCCTTGAAGCTGCGAGTATCAATAAAGGAGTGCCGTCACAGTCGGTATGATCCACATTAACGCGGACGTCAGCATTCGGTCTCAGAACACGTCGAACGGAGAGCGTATCTCCTTGTTTGACAGACTCCGTGAAATGGTTCTCGACGTACGTCTGGATAACCTCAGTCGTCTTAACGAATTTGCTTGATGTGCCAACCGACTCAGCTCTGCTGCATCGGACACAGTTTTTACTTCCTTTTAGACAAAAGTGGAAGGAGTTGCTAATTGCAATTGTTCGATACCGCCGCATCGTAGGCAGTTTTCCCGTCCCTATTGACGATAGTGAAGTCTGCTCCTGCGTTAAGTAGCAGCTGCACGACAACAGTATGACCTTGAGCTGCAGCGGCGATAAGAGCTGTTTCCGTTGTTGTTGACGAGGTTCATGTCGAGATTGGAGGCAAACTGGTTTACCCCAGCATTGGCATTCAAGAAGACCTCGAGCATCGTCGCGTTGCCTTTGATTGCTGCCCATATAAACGCAGAATTGCCATTCTTGTCACGTTGGTTCTCGTTAACTCCAAGCCTAAGGAGTAACTCGACAACTTTTATGAAGACTTTTATCGACGCGTGAGCTAGAACGGATATTCCTTCGTCGTCACTGTGGTTCACATTCTCTTTCATTCCACGACTAAGGAGGTCATTGATAATATCTGCTGCCTCGGCATCGCCATCCAAGCCGCATACGATATCCAACAGCCACGAAGCGTTGCCGGTCATTCACAGGTACTGGTGGACCAAGTGCTCTCCAGGGTGTCAAATGAAAAGTGCAAAGATAGAGAATAAAGATTCTTCGACTTGGGTAAGAGATCAGAATTCTAACTGGATACATCCTCTCAAGGGTTCCGTTACAAGTAACTTTGGGTTCATCGTGAATGAACCCAGCGACACAAGCAGACAGTCTACCAGCCACTAGATCAATCTTAGCTTATTCGGCGACAACGTAACGCCCTTAATCCACAGCATCCTTGCTTGCCACTTGCCGCCACTATGCATGCGCAACGTTAGATCTCCGTCCCAGACAGACCCCCTCCCTCACTTCACAACGAGTGGACAAGTTTCAATTGAGTACTTGTTACCGCAAGAGGCGATCCAGTCTAATCGACCTTGGGGGCTTTCTTGCGCTGTCGCACTGTCTTCTCCTTCTCGTCACTGTCCACTGCCTTCGCATCCTCCTCTTCATCGTCTTCAGATCCGCTATCCGACTTTTTCTCAATCGCCTCGGGCTTAGAAGCGCCGGATGCGCAGCACAGGAAGAACAGGGCAATAGTGACCAGAACGGAAACACCAGCCACCGATCCGAGAGCGATCACAGGGTTCGCATCGGCGTATGTAGCAAAGTCCATCGCCAGCGCATTGAGCGTCTTCATGATCCCGCTCTCCTCGCTGCCCTTGTCATCCTTCTTGGCCTTCTGCTTCGCTTCGACTTCGACCGCGTGCTTGGGAGCCCACGTGAGCTCCGCAAACTCCTGCGCCTTCTTCAAGTCGTTACCGAGCCAGAAATTGTCGAACGTAATGCCATCCGTCATGGTCCACACCTCCACAGCAAGTGCACCGATGGGGTCCAGACGCGCCGGGTGCTCATCTTCAAAATAATTCGGATTCGGGATCTTGCGCGGCTTCCACTCGCCCTTATAGGCCGGATTCGGGATGTACGGAGCGTAGAACTTGCCCTTGTACGCCGGATTGGCCTTCGTGGGTCGTTTCCACTCGCCACAGCCAGATACTTCAGCGCACTTCGGGTTGGGGATCTGAGGTACAACAAACTCTCCGTCGTCCTCATCGTCCCAGTCCTCGGGTTTAACCACATTCGGGTCATCAATCACAGCCGGTTCGTCGTCCAGCCAGTCGTCAGGCTTGACGGCATCTTCGTCCGGGATACGCGCGGGTGCATCTTCATCCCAGTCGTCAGGCTTGACGGCGTTCGGGTCGCGGATCTGCTTCTCGTCGACCCAATCGTCAGGCTTGGAGTCTTCGGGGTCGTCGATCTCCTTCTCAGGGATCACGGGAGGCAGGAAACTCTCCAATAAACTGCCACTCTTGACCGACTTCTGGTCCACGAACACCTCGAACGTGTTGTCATCGCGGATCACTGCCGTGTAGAGGTGCGTGTCCTTGTCGCTCTTGATACCAGGCGCCTCCATCATGTGCTTCTCCTCATACTCGCCAGACACGGGGTTCTTGTGCTGGAAGATAAGGTGCACTTTGTCGCTCGAGCCGCACTTGTCGGGGCCGAACATGAGCACGAAGGGCGTCGAGTCACTGAAGGCCGAGTAGTCCTGGTTCTCCTCGTCTTGACGCAGTAACTTTACGTAAGCACCGCCGCAGTCCAGACCTTTCTGCAGCTTCACCTCGTACTGCACCACCATCTCCTTCTTGGCCTCGCTGCCGTCCACTTGCAGCGGCTCATCCAGCTTCACGGCCAGGCCGTAGTGACGCGCTGGTTTGTCCAGCACGAGGCCGCGGTCGGGTGTAAGGTGCGCCGTTTCCAGCGTCACCTCTTCGAGGGTCACATCCTGGTTCGTGTACTTATCCTGCGTACTCTTGAACCAGCGCGAACCGTCGAACAGCTCCTCGATCTCGAACGTCTCGGCGAATAGCGCGCTCTTGGTCAGCTCCTGTACTTGCTGCTCGCGCGTCTCCGCCGCCTGTTGAGCGGCTGCTTGCGCGTCAGCGTCCTGCTGCTCTTGAGTGGCAGCCGCGTCGTCAGCGAGCGCAACCATGGGCAGCAGCACTGCCGACAGCAGCGCCACGATCGTCTTGACGTTCATTCTGATTGTATGCTTTTCACTGCAAGTTCACGAATGCGGATTCTAGAAGATCGAGTTGAAGAGGTTGACAAGTTTGACACGTAATGCACCCTACAGTGATGAAAGAGAAATAAAACACATTTCCAAACCTTTCATTGGTCAAAATCGGAATGGATTTTAGACCAATACCAAGCTAGGAAGTGCTGAGGGGGATTCAAAGATCGCTGCTACAGACGAAGAAGGAAGAGGTACAGCAGACATGGACTCCCGACAGCGCACGCAGTCGCCCATCGTGACGGGCACGTCGGTGATTGCACTGAAGTACAAGGGCGGTGTAATGATGGCGGCGGACACTCTGGGATCGTACGGATCGCTGGCGCGCTTTACGGACCAGCGCCGACTCACGGCAGTGCACAACACGACGCTGCTAGGCGCGGGTGGCGACTTCAGTGACTTTCAGTTCATCAAGGACAAGATGGACGAGCTGGAAGTGTACGACTTTAACCAGGACGATGGATGCGACACCACAGCGCCCGAGATCTACCACTACCTGCAGCGTCTACTCTACCACCGCCGCAATAAATTTGACCCGCTATGGAACACCGTCGTGGTGGGCGGCCTCAACCCGGAAACGGGCAAGCCCTTCCTGGGCCAGGTCACCATGATCGGTCTGGCTTTCGAGGGCGACTACATCGCTACGGGTTTCGGCCACCACCTCGGCATGCCGCTGCTGCGCAAACACTGGCGGCCTGACATGGAGGAGACTGACGCGCGCAAGCTGCTCGAGGATTGCATGCGTGTATGCTTCTACCGCGACTGCCGCACAATCAATCGTGTCCAGTTCGCCAAGGTCACGGCTGACGGCGTCACCATTCCGGAACCTGTCAAGATGGACACCAAATGGGACTACGCGCAGTTCGTCAAGACCAAGTCCGAGGTCGGCTCTTCGTGGTAAACAGAGCGATCGAACGGCAATTGACGATGGTGACTGATGGTGAGCACAGGACGACAAGCAGGCGCGATCTTCTATAGCGGTGGCGAAGTTGACCTTGGTGAAGTGCTAGATTTGAGCCTGCGTCCACCTCAACAGCAAGCCAAACAATAATAAGAAACACGTGAGAAAAAGTTAGAAAAGTGTCTGGATCCTCGTGATCACATGCTGTGTATGACTCTGTTCAGGCCGCAAAGATCGCGCCTACATCAAACACGATGCATCTAGTCCCTACGTCGACGCTTGGAGCGGTGTCTTCTCCGTGAGCTACGGTCACTATTTGACGAGGACGCCGAGCCGTCGCTGTCACTACCCGACGAGTCCGAGTCTGACCCAGACGACGAAGAAGAGCTGTCACTGGACGAGTCCGAGTCCGAGCTGTCCGAGTCAGAAGATGACGAATCCAATGAAGATGAATCACTGCCACTGCTGCTGCCACTGCTACTGACGCTACGGCGCCGCTCACATCGCGAGCTGGTCTTCGATTTTTTCTTGGCTTTGGCTTTGTCCTTGAGCTTGAGCTTGAGCTTCTTTCCCTTCTCGGCCTTTTGATGCTCTTTATCCAGCAACTCCGGGGGTTTATCCTTGTTGAAAGGCTGGCGCAGCTTGGGGTTCCGCAGCTGCTGCGAGCGCGACGGCCGTTGCACGTATACGGCCTCGTTCTTGCATTCGTACGTCCAATGTCCTGGTCGCAGACACTTCTGGCACATCGCAGCGGCGCTCGAGGAAGACGACGACCCCAGTCCACGCCGGTGTACGCGCACCTGGTCCGTGCTGGTCGCGTACATATTACGCCGCGCTTCCTTGCGCTGCGCCCATATGCCCAGCGGGGCCTCTCCATTGGCGTCACCCATGACTGCTACTGCTGCCTTGGTGGTCGCCTTTGATATCAACCAATCTCCTCACTACACATTCATTTTAACCAATCGAATGAAAAAAAGGGGTAAATATTTTAGTTATAGACTTAGCCAATCGAATGCAGCTCAGCATCTTCGCTTCAACTTGACGGGATCACTTAACGAAGGGATACAGTGCGGAGCATGCGGCGTGGTAGGACCTCATTAGGCAGGCGACGATTGCGCTCAAAGGCCGAGGCCATGAGTGTCGGCGTTGTAGGAGGCGTGATAGGCTGGATGTCAGCTGCGGCCGCCACGAGCTGCGCCGTGCTTTGTTCCATCTCGGGTGCAGCCTCCGCCGCCGCCTTGACGCGTTCTGCCACGTCGCTCCAGCGTACGTGCGCAAGTGCCAGCGTGTAGCTACTCACTTTGAAGAGTTCCATGCTCAACACACCCACCCAGAGCGCGGGGAAGCCGTAGCCCATCGTGATGCCGCCAACGTAGGCCACCGGCAGATTGATGAACCATGTGGCGATAGCACTAGTCCAGAATACAGTGTGCACTTGGCTGGACACCAAAGAAAGCGAGGTTAGCGACTGACAAGAACAAAACCCCGTCCAGTAGTAGCACGTACCTCATTCCAGTCAGAGCTCCAGCACCGAGAATCTCCACGGCCTCGAAGGCACAAGCGACGACGAAAATGGGCAGCACAAGCTTGCAAGTGGTTAGAAGGTCGGTATCCGTCGTGTACAGTGCTATAATGTGCTGGTCCATGAGACTGGTGACTGTCGCGATAAACACCACGACAACCATCGTACAAATGAAGCCAAGACCTGTGATACGGCGCGCCAAATCCGGTTTGCCGGCACCTAAGTAGTTGGCGACGCGGACCTGCGTAGCACAGCCGTAACCCCAGAAAAGCGCCCAGAGCAGACCCCACAGACCCGATATGACAGCATTGGCAGCAATAACTCGAGCACCAAGTCTCGCTGCTACCAGAGCGACCAGCGCACTGGCTAAATTCGACACGAAGCTGTTGCTGGAAATGGGCCCAGCGACTCTGAGATAAGATCGCAGTCGGTTAAGCGTGAGCGCGTGGACGTTCCAGCCATACCAGGCGCGGTGATGATAATGTTTGTAAAGGATAGCGTAGCTGAAGAGCGCGAATGGCTGGAACCAGGATGCCACCACTGTAGCGATGGGAGATCCGATAAAGCCCAAGCCATGCCATGAGCCAATGCCATAGATAAGAACATAGTTACTCCCAATAGCCACGAAAATCGAGACCACTCCGACCACGGTAGTGGGCAGCAGAATCCCCATCGCTTGTAAGTATTGCCTGTTGGAAAGTGGGTGTGAATTAGTCAACCAAAGCTAGCAATACTAGTATCCATCATTCAATTCATGCGAGGTCGAACCTGAGGCAACAGTAGAGAAGAGAAGGGAGGATTGACCCGGAGATCACGCGCGAAAATGTGGTGGCGAGAGCGATAAGTTCCTGGTCATCTGTAGAATACTCGAGGACGTAGCCAACGCACCAGTACCAGATCGCGACCGGAATCGAAAGCAACGTCGTGATCACGACTCCAAATTGCAGCCAGATGCCTGTGAGCTCTCGGTTTCCTGCACCCCACGACTGGCCGCACAACTGATCAAGCCACAGTTAGTATTACTGCAAGTATTAACCTGAAATATGTAAACGAACCGTGTTGAGTGCCGAGGCGGAGGCCCATACACAGTACAAGGCAGGACTCGTCCATAGCTGAGCTAGCGATGCGGCTGCTAGCTCCTTAACGCCCAGGTGACCTAGAAACACAGCGTCGATTGACAAAAGCGCTGCTCGCGCCAATGTGGCCATGCTCACTTGAGCTGCCATCGAAGAGAGGTCCACAAAGTCATTCCAGGCTGGGGGCTCCTTAAATCTTCCAAAAGATTTCCCCAGGAGTGGACTCGTCTCCATGCCGTCCAGTGATGTAAAATGAGGGCTGGAGAACTGGTGGCTCTAATCTCGATGTTGAAGTTAAAGCGCGTCTAAAGATAGCAGAACGAAACGCCCGTTAGGACGAAGAGGTGGCGAGTGCACACAACCAGTCATGGGCGCAGCTTTGACTTCTTATAATTTATCAGATCCGCAGCACCAACAACTGCTAGGTGAATACGTTGACCATTCGAGGAAGACGGTGAATGAATGTGCACATATCTTTCGAGGCTCCTTGGGTACGTACGATGACCAGAACCACACTCCTGCTTCATGCTTAGATGCCCCGAAGCCAGCATATCCGCGGCATATCCAGTTGACACAGTTCGAAGAAGTATTTGGGATGCTGGTAGCGGATCCGGAACCTCACTTTCGATTCTTTCATCATGGGAAAATAGTTGCTGCAGACACGAAGCCTAAAGCCGAGGCTACTGTGTGCACACATCGCGTGTTTTGTGCGGTGGCGTTGCTTATGAAAGCAGACCTCCACTCGAAAGTTGATTTCATCTTGCGGCTGTACGCGGATATTGCAGGAGAGCTCACATCGGAGGCGAAGAGCTCGCTGCTAAAAGACTTTTTCACAAGTGTTGAGGTAGTTTTCCAGCTCGCTGATTCCATTTCGGGCAGTGTGATAACGAGTGTAGAGGTACGTGACCATGCTCCACCGCATTAAACCATGAAAGACTTGCATTGATAAATTCTGATGGAGTAGAAGGCATTCTGGAGCGACGACCCGGGGAAGTTAATAACAATGCGAGAGTTGTATGACGTTTGCCTTACAAACCCTCAAATCAGTGGAATGCTGCACAGTGTTCACACGCTCACTGAAGGTGAGGGTTTCCGTTACGTGCTCTTAAATGCTGCAAATGTTGATCTGCCTTGTTATTCCATCTGCAGCGTTTTCAACTTCGCGACGCCAGGAGAAACTACACCGACGTGAACGTAAAATTCATAGTCAGCAATTGCCCGTGCATCAAGGAGGCGATAGCAACTCTGCACGGTTAAAATCGATTGCGCGTAGCATGTCTTCAGCAGCACTTCCTCGAGCTTCGTTATTGTGGGACTTGAAGGTAGGGAGAAGATAGAAGCGGAAATCATTTGATATCCAAACTAACGTTTTGTTTGACTAGGCTGCAGACTACGGCAGTTTTTGGCAGAAGCCCGAGCTACTCCAGATACGGGCAAGCGAAACCTGCGCTCATGCGCTGAAAAAAATGGTCCGAGTGGATACTCAACACATTTTGGTAGTTGAATCTTCAGACTCCACTCAGTCAGAGACGTGCCGACTGATTGGACTTGTTTCCACCGAAAAATTGCTCTTGTACGTACAGCAACATCTAGTCCGAGTTGTATGACCAGGATTGACGTTCTCTCTACAATGTATTGCATTTTTCACAGATACTTTCTCCACTTTCTTGCTCCTGGTTTTCAATCGTCCACAGCCAAACCGTACGAGCACACCCGAACTCGTGCAGAGGAGGCTATCCGACAGTTTGGTACTGCACCACTACGTGATGTTGTGCGCTTTCACTTCACAGAGCGAGCTCCTTTGTTGAGCATCATTCGCGATGACGAAGCATTTTTCAGTGTTTTGCTGCGTTTTGCTTGTGGTGAAAGTTCCTTGGCAGTGGCTCAGAACTACAGCTCCGACCCTGAAGCTGTGCTTGGATGTCTGACTGTCCACGACATGCTGGCGTGGCTCGACGAAGACTTGACACTCTTGAGTAAGACTGCATAGCTTTACCAAAACTTTCTCCGCTCACGCTATCAGTTCTTGACAAATTCAGATGGCCAGGAGCGTTATGCTGTAGCCGCCTTTCCCCAGTTTTTCTACGCTCCAGCGAAAATTAATCCAGTGTCCGCGTCTGCGTCAGTGTGTGAGGCTCTAGTAGATATGGCATCGCGAATGCTGTCAGGAATTTTGGTGGAGACGAGTGATAGTGATGCTGAGAGGATACTCAGGTACTGATCACTTTGTCGCGAGCTTTAATGGTCTCAGCTTGATAACAATTGTTCTGGTTTTCCCATTCGCAGTACCAGCACATTTCGGGATTTGTTCACTGCCTCCTTCACTGCTTTAAGCGAAAAAGTTGGCGAGCCAGGCCCTCTTCTCCGAGCTGTGACTGCAAACACAACAGCGTTGTCGCCTGCTTGCACTGTTTCTCCTGATACCTCTATCGCAAAAGTGATCCGGAAGATGATCGACAAACAAACAAGACGCGTTATTATCAAGCGCCAAGACGGTTTAATGGTGGGGGCTGTGCGAGCCTCTGACATCTTGAGGATGCTCCTTCGCGCACAGCACACGCCACTGCGCTAAAGGCAAGGCAAATTTGAACCCAAGAGCGATTAGCGGAGCATGTAGCAGGCTTCAGGCAACATGACGAATACTGTTACGAAGGTACCGTTATGCTCTCGATTGTTTTATCCATAGTGACGAATCATCCGGGACCAATGGCCATCATTGCTTGCTCTATTCCACCTGGACGATGAAGTTGTTTCGTCGGCCAACGCGAACCATCAATACCTTATCATCGAGAAGATTCGATGGCTCGACACGCAACGCCTCGGACTCAACGCGCTCATTGTTAAGGTAAACGCCACCACCCTTTATCAGACGCCTGCACTCAGCTACGTAGGCACAATAAAGACAAAGTCAGATCCACTAGTATCCATCTAGCAGAATGAAAAGATGCTCACCTTTCGACTTTACCGCGCCAATTCGTACAGCAAGATCCACCAATGACTGATCGACGACATCAGTGCGCGAAAGAATTGTCATGGGTGCGTCTCCAGCCATTTGGAGCATCTCTTCAGCAGTCAGAGGACCTTGTTTCTTCCCGAAAAGCAGCTCTGTGGCATCCAATGCAGCCTTGAGACCTTCTTGACCGTGCATCATCACGGTGATATCCTCCGCCAGAACCTTCTGAGCAGCACGCTTTTCGGGGGCCTTCTCGTGCTCAGCCACGATGTCGCGGATCTCATCCACCTCTCGGAACGTGAAGCTTTTGAACAGTTTCTCGACATCGCGGTCATCGGAGCGCAGGAAGAACTGGTAAAAGTCAAACTAGCGGTCCACAAAGCATAAATATTAGTCACAACAGGCCTCTGCCCCCATGAATAAGTGTACACTTACCACCGACGTCTTCTCTGCATCCAGCCAAATGGCGTTGCCAGCGGACTTGCCGTATTTCTCTCCAGTAGCCGTCGTCAGCAGTGCCAACGTCGCTCCAAAAACTTCCTGTTATTGCGTGCAAAGTAAGTATTAACGCAGCAAAACTGGGATATCATGGATGCTGCGGTTTACCTCGCCTGTGCTTTTGCGAACAAGTTCAATGCCCGAGGCAATATTGCCCCATTGGTCGCTGCCTCCAATCTGCGCGACACAGCCGTAGTTCCTGTATAGATGCAGGAAGTCGTAGGCCTGGAAGAGCTGGTACGAAAACTCGAGGAAGCTGATGCCTTGGTCCGTCTCTAGACGTTTCTTCACGCTTTCGCGCTGCAGCATCGCGTTTACACGGAAGTGACTGCAACAAAGGAAACACCATATCAGTCTTCACCACAACGATACACACAACTACAACTGCCGCCACAACGCACCGGCCGATGTCCCGCATCCACGTGACCGCCGACATCTGCGTGTGCCACTCGGCATTATTGCAGATGATAGCACCAGTCTTCGGGTCATCAAAATCCAACACAGGCGATAGTCCCTTAGCGATCTCCTGCGCATTGTGCAGTACCATGTCGTCTGACAGCAGTACTCGCTCTTCCGACTTGCCACTCGGGTCCCCAATCATGCCCGTGGCCCCGCCCACCAGCAGAATGGGTCGCACTCCTGCACGCTGGAAGTGGCGCAATGCGATGCCTTGCAGCAAATTGCCCAGATGCAATGAATCGGCCGTTGGATCGAAGCCGCAATACACTGCAGGCGCACGCGAGTTCATCAGCAGCTTGTCGATAGACGTACCAGCCTCCTGGTGCGTCAGTGCGGCCAACATACCGCGCTGGCGCAGCGTTGTGAGTGCTCTGCTCATGGTGTTCAATCTGCAAATGTTGTGCGGTGATGATTGACTGTGAGTTGCAATGGATGTTGCACCAAGATTGTACCACACTGGTGCAACATTTACAGCGTACTAGTACTGACGAAGTTGAAGATGTTTGTTAGATTATAAGCATCGACTTTCCTGTCTACAAGATGCGCCGCACTTCGAGCGTACGCCGAAGGAAAGAGATTTGTGCCATTGAGACGGCCGTTAGCACGATCATCTCGACGAGCGTCCACCACATGACCCGATTGTGGGTGCTCATGATCACTGCAATAAACGACACAAAGATCCTTGTCAGCATTTGCAGTGAATACTTCGCTATCGATACCCAATTGGCCCATGCAACATACATTGGTTGTGGTGGTTCGTGATCGCTTTCATGAACGCTTGGGTATCCTTGACGGTGTCGAGGTTCACACTCAACTCGTACACAATGTCCTCCAGCTCCTGCACTTGCTCTGTGGTCAAATCATTACATATTGGCAGCAGTCAGCCATCGGAGAAACACAGCAAATCCAACTAAAGGCTGGACACTCAACTGATCTTCGTGGCGTCTGCGTTCGAGAGCACCTCGTGACTCGGGTCGTCCGCGTGGAAGGAGAAGCCGATAACCACGTCCCCGACGGGCGAGCGCTCGTTCTTAAAGCAGACCGAGTGCATTCCTCCCTCCCCGATAGGGCTCATGTATCGTCCAGATGTGCCCTTGCGCGCGTACACGACCTGATCCTTGCCGTCCGTCAACTCTGTCTCCAGTTCGTCCGCCACGCCCCTCAGTACCTCGTAGTTCAACGAAATGCCGTGCTTGAAGCTCTCCGCCTCCACGGAGAAGCATTCGGAGGCGCCCGACGGTATCGTCACATGCATGGCGAAGACCAGCGGCGCCACATACACCGCCAACGCTAGCGACAACAGTAGCATTCGACTCGCCATCTTCCGGATCAATTTGTGTATTAATACCTGAACACAAATCACAAAACCCACTTCAAATCTCGAGCCTTTTGGCACAATTATCGATCGACAAAGCGGAGCGCTGGACTCCTCAACGACGATGCAGACTGTACGACGCCAGCTCGATCGCCTCTTCGCGGTGCACATGGTCATCGCAGTGGTGACGGGGGCGCTGTGCTTCTTGACCCCGCACTCGCTCATGGCTCCCATGCTTGGAGACGGCAACAACACACACATGGCACACGAATTCGTGCGACTTTATGGTACAATATCCTGCGTTCTGCTGAACTGCTAATACTGCTTTAATGTTAGTGCTGGGCTGAACGTATTGGGCTTATTACAGGCGCGCTGACGCTGGCACAAGGCTGGATGGTGTGGCGCACGCGGCTCGTGAGCGACGCGCTGATCCGCCGGACGTTCTGTCAGGCCTACTGTATCTGCTTCTTGCTGCAAGCGGTGGCGCTACTCCGCGCGCAGATAGCGTCACCCGAAAGCCACTCAATGCTGCATTGGATTAATATTCTGCTTCTTGGAGGCCTGGGCTGCGCTTATGGCTATTTCCTCGTCTTTAAGACTATCAAAGCATTCGAGCTGCCGGGCATGGAGAAGGGCTTGTTGTGACCTGAGGATTCTACTGTAAATGGACATACGACACAAGTAAAAGCTTGCTTTGGAGCCTCATTGTATTCATGAAACTTGTATTGATGACAATAGAACCTCTCGATGCGGTGAATGGGATTGCTCAAATATTGAGAGGGTCGTCAAACGTACCAGCAGGCGTGTGGGACTCGGTCAGTTGAGTTTCAGTCCGTTGACCGTGAGGAGCAGAAGCAGGCTCCGAATAAGAGGGAACGCTCAGGCCAACAACTGTACTGGAGGAGTTGGGTGCAACAACACTAGCTGCTGGTGTACTGGGTGCTTGAGTGCTTGTGGAGGCGTGTGGCCCAGAGGAAGCTGACGGCGGGGTACCAGCGGGTGGCACCAGGGTCGGAGAGATCTTACGCTTCTTCCTCACCTGCAGCACGTTAATGGGATTGCCAGCAGTAGCCCCCTCCGAGTTCTGGAGGGCACGTTTGATGGTATCCGCTGGTTGTGCTTTTTGTTTAGTCGTGGCGGTCTTTGTCGGTGCGTCCTTTGAGACCTGGGGCTGCGCCTGGTTTCTAGCTTTTTTACGAGCCTTCTTGGGAGTTGCAGACATTCGCCGCATCTTGTCCTCGTTAAGCGCCATTTGGTCTTCATAAAGCAGCAGTACAACGACAAACCATCAGTATTTCGGAGGCTCACACAAAATATTTTTTGCAGCTCACCTTTGCGCGGTACGCTTGTGCCGAAGAAACCATCTTCAAATTGAATGAATGAGATGTAACCATCCGTCGATGAGATGCTCAGTGTCTGGCCGTCAGCTGTCCAGGTCGCGTCAGTTAAGTCTGCGTAGTGAAGCCCCTTGATCGTGCAGATCGGAGAAGCTTGCTGCGTTTTTCATAACATCGAACATCAAAACTGGTCAGTTGACAAGCCCTTCATAAACATCATATCTGCTAGAGAATCATTTACCTGCGTGTCGTGAATGACGACTGCGTCGAGTGTAATGACAGCAAAGACAGACCGGTATTCCGTCTTGAACAGGTTGGGCACCGGAGCGTCTTTTGCCTGGCCATCCGGACGACGCAATTTATACAAAAGAGGACTGCAGCGGACAGCAAGCGAAGCTTTCTCCTGTCCAGGCAGGTGCAGTGTCGGCTGACTCAAATTGCCACGTGAGAATGCGTATACTGTGTTCACAGGAGACGCCGACTCGCTCGAGCGGAAAGTTCCAGTAGGCGCCAGAAAGTAGTTTCCATCAGGTGTCCACGCAGGTCGCCGTGCGAATGCGGGGCACGTATCATCCAGGAACATTCGATGCTTCGGTTGGGCTGGAGCTTTGGTGGGTGCGTCTCCTGAAGCGACTTCACTCTCTGCCTTCTTACTGTTATCCTTATCCCCTTGGTCACCTGTGGCTGTTGTTGCTGGAGTACTCGACCCGTTCTGCTTTGAAGGGAACTCGCGGGTCTTTAGCGTCTGGATGCACATAAGCTTACGTCCCTGTTTCTTCCCGCTCGGTCGCGTCACCGCTCCAAATCCACTGAGCGAGTAGACTCTGCACGTGCGGTCGTTGCCCTCCGTCACTATGAACTCGTTGAGCGGATCCCAGGCCACGCCCTGCACGTACTGAGTGTGATCCTTGCGCCGCTCCGCCACGTCCCCTTTCTCGACATTCCAGATGACGCAGCGATTGTCGACTGATGAAGACGCGAGGAAGGCTGAGTCGGGCGACCAGGACAGATCCGTGATGTCTCCCTTGTGGCCCAGCGACAGAATGGTGCGCCCCACGTCGCTGAGCGAAGAGATGTGGTCCCAGCGCCAATCGTCTCCTGCAGTCTTGGGTTTGGACCAGAGGATAATAGACGTGTCATCACTGGCAGACGCTAGGTAAGCGCCGTTAGGCGAGAAACGCACGCAGTTAATGCTGCGGTCGTGTCCTGACAGGCTGAAAACGAACTCGAGCGCTACGTTGCCTTTGGCCTCGGGATCCTCGCTCTCACCAACTCGCCATAATTTGATCTCCTTGTCGGCGCCCCCCGTGGCCAGCAGCGGCTTGTCAGTCGTGGTAGCCTCTCCTGCATTAGGTCGTAGGAAGTCCAGCGATAGCACAGCCTCATTTAGCCCCGTGGGTCCGCAGTGCAGCCGGATCTCGGGCGTCGCCACGCGCACCGCTGGAGTCGTCGACATGCTTCCTTCGCAGCTTTGATACGTTTCCCGCCAAATTGGTTGCCTCGATTAAGTGCGAATTTGAATCTCAGGAAAGTACGATTTAGTGTCTTACGTCACTATGAAGAGCTCCAAAAATGGATGGATACATTCGCATCCAACATCAGTGCTGCAGCTTGCAGATTCACCACCACTGCCAGTGAATCCAGGCTTATAAGTTAGACATTCTAATGCATCAATAGGGATAGTCGTGGCCATCTCGCTGGTGGCGGTCATCGTTGCAAGTTGAGCGGTGCGTACTCTTTGCTTCAACTCCGGTGGTACGTAACCACCTCCCCAATAGTGTCCACACTCGACCTTACTGAATTGAAGTATAATCTATCGATCAATTACGATTGGACGATTTCCATTCGTCTTCAAGAGCAGGAGCAGTTACCCCCTCACTCCAGCCGACAGCATTGGAAGGAACCCACCACCTCAGAGCTCGCCATGGAGAGCTGGACGGACTACTTCACGTCGCACTTCTACGCCATGAAGGCGCGGCCCGTATCGGCCTTTGATCCTTCAGGCTTCATCATCGTCATCTCGGCATTTCTGCTCCTCGTGGGTGTTGTTGCCGCAACGGCGCGTGCACTCGTGTCCAGACGCGGGCTTCTGCTACGCTCGCGCGTGGAGAAAAACCTGCAAGACATGTCGGACTATGTTTCTGACCAGCGCACGCGCGTAGGCGAGAACTTACAGTACATCAAGGGACGCGCTATCGACCACTCGGGTCGACAGGGTTTCATTGCCGAGATGCTCAGCTACGCTTACCTCTCGCGACTCGCCTTCTCGCTGTCGATCTTCGCCATTGCCTCGTACCTCAACACACTGGCTGCCGTTATTGCAGGGTAGATACCTCTTTCTATTATGGATGCTGATGGCTTTGGTGCTGACGATTGCTATTGCTGACAGTTGGCGCACTCCCAATGTGGTGATCCTCGATCTTGCCAAGGAGAATACCAACCACAAGACCCTCCCGGACCTCGGACATGATCTCTTCAGATTTGTTATGACCAAGATCTACGGCCAAACCACGTACATTGAATGGTTCGACCTGCCGGACGAATTCCTGGCTGCTGTGGGTATGCTGACGTCGTTTATCCTCATTCTGCACCCGCGGGTACGTTTGTCCCTTTCGTTTTCCATTCGATCTCGCCTAAACATTTGCATTTGTGGTTGGATTTATCTTTGCAGCGCCTGCTGATCCTACGTCGCTTCTGCTTCATCTTCGCTATCATCAACGTCATGCGAGCATGCTGCGTAGCTGTCACATCGCTGCCGGACGCTAGCCCCATGTGTATCTCCCAGTTCGACAGCAAAGAACGTGGTAACTACAAGTCTCTCCCGATTTTCCCAAAGTGCGTACACGGTTTTTGACCCTATTGTGAGTAGGAACGCGTCTGATAACCCTCTTCTGTTGCTTGCAGAGCCTTCTTCCGCGCTTGGAAAGTGCTGATCCGCCCGTCACAGCACATCACATGCGGTGATATGATCTTTAGCGGCCACGCAGTCTTTTTGATTCTCTGTTGCATGTTTGCCAGAACGGTACGATCAAAATTGTGCCTTGAGCGTCATTGCGTTCGATTTGCTTACCGAGACCGCTTGTTGATACTTGCAGTACTGTGTGCGTTCGGAGTTGAACACGCCTTTCACCCGACGCTTCCCGTTTGTGTTGTGGATGATCCGCTATTACAACTACATCCTGTCGGCCTGTGGTATCTTCGCTATCGTAGGCACACGGCTGCACTACACACTTGACGTGCTCATCGCTATCTACATCACGATCCAAGTTTGGCTCACATACCATTGGCTTATGAACCATCCGGAGAGCGGTTTTGCTGTCATCAATTGGCTAGAGCATGCAGAAGTGCATTTGGTCGACCACAACGCCTACCGGAAGGCGCGGCGATCTGGCAGTCAGAGTGATCGGATTGAAAAGATCGACTAGTTTGCTGGTAGTTGGGTTAGTACGCGCTTCAAAGAGCAAACCAACATCCAGGATAATACGACACAAATCATAGACTCGGTAGAGAATTCACCACGAAACATATACCACCAGTATGCATGCGCACCTAGCGTCTGCTCTACTTCATCATCTACCGTATCTTCTTCGTTTCAGTTTCTCCTTCATTTGGTGCATTTGATTCCTCCTTCTGCAGAGCTTGATGAAGTTTGTATTGCAAGTGTTCTTCCATGACTCCCCACTCGCTGTTGATAGCAGCAAACACGACTGTGTCGCAATTACAGTTCTTGATGATACGGTGTTTTCGCATCACGCCTTCAAAGGTGAAGCCCAATGAGTGCGCAGCCCGGCGCGCCCGTACATTATGACCATCGCATCGCCACTCCACTCGACGGTATCCGCTATCAAACAGATACTTCAGTAGCAGCAGCACGACTTCTGTCAGTGCTGCTGAGCCCTGAAAAGCCGGAACGAGCCACAAGTTCATCAACTCAATGCGGAGGTTCTGTGGCGAGTGTTCGCCAAGTGTCACCATGCCTATATGCTGCATGCTCTCACGCTCCACCAGCACAAAATGACGAGCATCCATTTCCTCTGTAGAGTAGAATTCTTTGAGCTCAGCTACCGAAGCGAAGGGTCCATGCGGCAGATATCGCCAGATCATTTCGTCAGCGCTGAAGGTCAAATTTCGGAAGATGCCGCCGCGTGGTTCTCCGCAGGAGACGGCAAAGAGGTCGGCGATGTCACTGGAGGCTGCAAAGTCTCTTATGCACACTCGCTTTCCCTCCAGCAACTTGTCGATCCCAAGCAACGGGGGACGAAGCTCCAGCGTCTTTGCCTTGTCAAGTAGCTCATCGTACAGCAGTGGCTTCTGTTCGCCCAGCGTAGCCGGCAGCCCCACTGCTTCCTGTTTCATGCGGTCGAAGGATCCTCCTTGGCGAAGCAGAAGGAAAACTGCCATCAGCGAGCCCACGAACACCATGGCGCCTGCAGCGATGCCGATGAGCACCGCCGGGGTCAACATCGCTATCAAAAGTGTGCCGAGTATCTTGAGGCTATATGAAGCGTAATATTAGTATAGCTGTAAAGTGTATTACTGGGAGAAAGTATGTTGAATTGATGACATGCACATCAAAATAGGCTAGTTTTGAAATAATTATCAACGGCGGTCCTCTATTCGGAGTTCCGCATTGACAAGCAGGATGAACGCAGCGCAGGCGCCTTCGCAGAGCAAGCGGCCGCCCGAGAAGGGCTCGTTCCCTCTGGACCACTACGGCGAGTGTAAGCCTGCAATGAAGGAGTTCTTAGCCTGCATGCGCGAGCACAGTAATAGCCACATCGACTGCAAGAAGCTCTCGGCCGCCTATCTGCAGTGCCGCATGGACAAGTGCGGCAATAATTATTTTTGTGCTTGCAGAGTGATGGTCTCACGCTAATGTATTATACATTACGGCACAGGGGCCTGATGAAGCCCGAAGAGCTGGAAAAGCTGGGCTTCCACGAGGAAGGCATGAAGAAGACATGGACGGAAGAGACTAACGAGGGCAGAAAGGAAGGCGAGGGCTTTGTGGCAGGCCTCGGCATCAAGAAATCACGCTACGACAAGAAGTAGCAACAGTATTATCCTCTCTTTTTACGAGAAGAGCAACATCTCTAGATATCTATCTCCTAACCAGACAGACCAACGAACAATCAAAAACCGGCAGCGAGCGACGTCGCTGCCGCTCTATTTCCCAGTCCGACGGCTCCCTGTCGTCTCCAGCTCCAAGATGCGCAGGCGTAGAGAACTAATTTCAGTCGCAGCTTCGCGTGCATTCGTCTGCATTTGCTGTTCCAGGACCTGGACGCGTACACGCAGCAGGGCCTCTCGCGTCTCACAATCTCCACCGTCGATATCTGGCATCTCAGTTCCGAGTGCGTGCTGACGTATTGATGACCGCTCCGGTATCTCTGTTGACTGCTGTGCGACTGTCCGCTCGAATTGACGAATCACTTTCTCCTGCATCCGCACCGCTTTCTAGCAAGACACGACGGTGGTGAGTCAAACACGCAGCTTAGTCTATAGCAAGGAACAGGCCATCCTCACCTTGAGCGCGGTTGCTTGCTGTTTGTCACGCTGTAGGCGCTGCACCAGAGCTGATTGTACCAGGTGAGCCTCCTGCAGCTTGTCATGACGCGTCTCTAGGTCGGCGAGCGAGCTCAAAGATTCCTGTGCATCAGTTAATTGCTGCTTCACGGCTTGGTATTCACGATCCAGCTCATTGTACTTCGTGGCTAGCAACGTGAACCGCTGCGATGCTGCTTGATGCTCTGGGCGCACAGGGAAAGCTACTCCATTCCCATTGGTAGAGGCCATTAACTCGGCTAATTGCTGCTGCTCTCGACGCTGTGCAGACTCGATCTGCTCCTTGAGTTGTTGTATCTGCTGATCTTTTTGACGTGCCTCTCTCTGTTACAGCGTCAACGCAGGCATCAGAAAAACGAACTAGTGGAATCTGAGAATGAGAAAACTCACCCGTAAGGCCACGATCTTCAACCCACACGTCTTGATGGCAACTAAACGTGTATCCAACTCATTCTGGAGCTATTCCGTCATTAAGGTTGGTTTAGTATATCGTCAACGAGAAATGAAGCGCATCAAGGCGTACTCTTTCAATCTGAAGGCGCTGTGCAGTTCCTTCAGCTTGCAAATGGGCGAGCTGCTCTCTCAGCAAGGCTCTGGTATCGTCTGTCTCTATGCTATTAAGTCTGGTGGGTGAGGTTTGGTGATGTTGTTGGTGCTGCTGATCTTGCAGCCTTGGAAGATTTCGCTTATACTCTTCACGTGATGAAGACTTAGCAAGCAGCTCTGCCAACACTCCAGACACACCTCCAGCATCGCATATCGAAGCTACAGGGTGGCGATTAAGGCCACGGAGAAGTGCTCCCATCCAAGCAATTGTCGGTCGTGGTAAGCGATTCCACCGGTTTGTGCAGACAACGCGTCGAGCAGGAATGTCACCGATGAAGGCGCTCCAAGCAGCAGTATCCCACCAGCGCAGACGTAAAGCGATGTGACCATGGACGCGAGAGCAGTCGGCGCTAGATGTGATTGGAATTACGGTGTATCGCAGTGGTGATCCATCTTTCTTCGCACCTTGAGCCTTGGGTGATGCAAGCTGGAGCTGACCGCGACCAACAAGTTTGTGCGGCAGCGATGAAGTGTTGAAAAGTGCAATATTTACTGCGGTCGAAGTAAAGTCTTGGTAACTTCCAGCCCCCAATGTGAAACTGAAAGGGAAGAACCACTCGTACACCCCTGAAGCGCTGCCTGTTGCCGAGGACGACGAAGGTGTAATGCCAACAAGCTTGGTCTTTCTTACTGACATATCGATTGTGGCAGTATCAAGTGCTTGACCATCGTGGAGAAATGTGAAGTGGTTTTCGAGCACCCCGTACGCTTCCACAGGTTTCATTTGTGAGGAGTTTGTGCTCTCATCAGCGTGGAAGTTTACCAGGACGCCGAGACTTGTACAGTCGAGTGCCTCTGCTTCATCTTCATGGCCAGTAACGACAACAGGTGTGAAAGACTCGATAGTGATTTCGACATGCTCCAGAGAACTGGTACTGAGCACTGGACCTCGGCAGGCTGCATCCAGTGACACATACACGCAAGTGCCTGCAGTATGGTCTAACGGGCTCTTCGTGTCATTCGGTGGAAAGGCAAATGCATAGTGTGTCTGCTGGAATTGACATCCGACATTGGCAAGGGGGAGAATGCACGTTCCAAGCAAGAAATCTTCCTGATGACTATCCCCACGTTCCACAATGTCGAGTTTTAGAGCCAAGCGTTTTGTATCTTCGGTGATTGCTACCCCTGCTCTTCCTCCAGCACCTCCTAGCTGCTGGTTTATAGTCTGTGGCCACCCTGTGGGTAATGGGATGGCTAGCACCTCGTTCCAGGAAGGTGAAGTGCTGGCTTCGACAACGCGCGTCGCAGCATATGGAGAAAACTTGTGTTCGTATAATACTCTGCCTTCTAGTGGCAATGTTGACGTATCTGCTGCTCTGGTGGCGTCTCCTCGACGGCACTGCACAAGGTTGGAGCATCCGGTAAAGACACCAACCGAAGCGACCACATACGTGTTGAGTTGATCTCCAGCGATAGTAGTACCATTCAGCTTTGTCGAAACATCTTTGGTAACAAGCGCATCCAGATTCCGCCCGAAATGCACAAGAACTAACAACAAATCTCCGCCGCGCTCGTCCGAAGCACTGAAGGGCCTGCACAATATTACTTTGAAGGTTGAGTCAACTAGACGCCATCAAACGCAAAGAATGGAACGCACCTCGTGCTCCGAAGGTTGTTCGCGAGGTCGGCAGTGACTCCTATAGCCGGCACCTCGGGTTCCAGCTCCTGCGGTTCGTGCGGAGAGGACATGCATTCCTTCACTTTCGTTGCCACCTTGGGGTCGGCGTCTCGTCGAGGTCAACGTGAAACGACGTCCAATAGCGATCTTTCGTGTGGATCAATTGGAAGATCGAGCTGCCATGTCATACAACTCGGTGGCGCTGGGGATCGTCGGCAGCCCGGGGACTTCACCGCGGGGCGAGCAGCATGTGCTCGAGACGTTCTATTACACGCTGGTGTTCCCGGTGCCCTCGGCTCGAGAGATGCCACGCATCAGCTACGCTGACGTGTGTGAGATGCTACGTGGAGTGACGGCCGGAGGACCAGCACGAGAGGCGCGTGCAGTCGACGAGCTACGTGCAGCCTGGGAAGCCAAGTTTCGTTCGGGTGCACCCATGGCACAGGATATGATCCCATTCTCGGCGTTGCAGGAACTCATGCGGGACGTCATCATCGCGCGGTTCTCGGCTTTACCTGGGATGATAATTCGTCCGCGCACTGAGAGTCAAGACAAAGGCCGGATATTGCTGAGCTTCCGTCCTACTCTAGCGTTGCTGAGAGCTACAGCAGAGCGACTCAAGATGCGAATGCCCGCTTCTAGTGCTCTTGAAATTGATAGCAAGGCAGAGACAAAGCTGTGGAGTCAAGCTGAAGCACAAGAGGAGATCTACCGACTCTTCCTTGCAGGTAAGATAACCGCGGAAGACGCGCAGATCTTCGACTATGAGGACAGCGGGATGTGGTCTCGTCGATTGCGTGCTCTGCAGAGATTCTCCGCTATCAAGACCGGAGGACAGGCTGAAGAAGGGGTGGTGTATCTGCCATTTCGTGATCTTGCTGCGCTACGCTACGTGTATCGCCAGATTGATGACGAAGGAGACGGAGGTGGAGCCAGTGACGGAAGTACCTTGTCTCCCTTTCGCGTGGTGGACAAGATCCGACTGACGAAGGCGCTGATAGATGCCGAGTTTGACTGTGACGCACTGCTGGAGCGCGGACTACTGGACCATCATCTCTGTCCACATACCCACAGAGCTACAGACGTGGACACATCCCTGGATGTACTTCGAGTTCAGTGGGGAGCACTCCCAAGTCCGTGGAGATTGTTTTGCGGCCTTTACCAGTGGTTCCGTAGCTCTGAACCGACAGCAGATCCACTTCTCCATGTGCGGAATTACTTTGGGGAGCAGCTTGCACTCTGTACGTTTGCTCGCTTATTTTCTTTAGTTGTGTGTGCTGACAAATGCAGTCTTATGCTTTTCTACAGACTTCGCGTTTGCTTCTTTCCAAGCGAGTGCATTGAGGACGCTCGGATTCCTGGCGTTGGTACTTGCGGTTCTTGCAGCGAAGACATCGAGGCTCCGAGAGGCAGAAGCTTCTTTCTGTTTGTGTTCGTGTGCGTTCCTGGGGATCTTTGTGCGCAAGTGGGAGCTGCAAGAGGCACGTTTTGCTGCTCGTTGGTCTGGCAGCACACCAAGTGACGGTGGGAGTGCAGTCAATCCACTCCTCCAATTACCAAGGCCGCAGTTCCGTGGACGAATGCGACGCAGCCCTGTGACCCTTCGTTTGGAGCCGTATTCACCGATCGGGAAGGAGGTTGCACGTCGGTTGATGTCAACGGTGGTGCTTGTGGCTCTTACGTTGGAGCTTGCGGCGGCCAATGCTGTGCTAGTGGCGAGTAACCACTTTCAAGCTCTTGCAACCGAGACTTCCTCGAGATTCAACGTGGCGCTAGGAGTGATAGCACTGATAAGTAAGTGTGCGATACCGCACCTGGCACGTTGCAGCCGAGCGCTCACCAACTGGGAAAATCACCGACTACAGCGTGACTATGACGCTCAGCTCACGTTTAAATTTGCACTACTGCAGAGCGCCAATTGTTTCAGTGCGCTGTGGGGACTGGCATTCTTGCGACCAGTACGCTGCAAACTTGGTCAGTGTCAACACTTTGAAAATGCTGAAGTCAATGTCTCGAGCAATGACCAAGCAGCTCGCATGCTGCTGATACTACTCGGGTTAGATGTCGTTGTCGCTTTGTGTGGTCTACGCTGGGCAGTGTGGAAGTTAGTTTGTGGTGGTAATGTATGGAGACAAGTATCGACAGAGGCGGTAATGAGACCTCTTCGAATGGTTGAGCGAACACAAGGAGGCAATGTCCGGCCCACAACGACACTGCTGGTGGCAGCGTCCACGGGTTCAAGTATCGAAACCGACTTGTCATTGGTGCCGTACGAGGGAGTACTTTTCGACTACGCACAGCTTCTGGTACCTCTGGGTTTTGTGGCTTGGTTTGCGCCCTTAGCTCCACTGTCTTGCTGTGTCTTAGCTTGGATTGTTGCAGCATTACAGATACGTGTGGATGCACACAGCTTGTGCTATGATGCGCAGCGACCTTTTCCAATTCAGACGCTCTCTCTTGGCTCATGGATCGGCTACCTGCACGTTCTGCGAATAGGTGCCATTCTTCACTCCACTGTCTTCATGCTGATGATTTTTCTGAATACGACGGCTGCCGACCTCGATAACAAGACATTTGAACAGCACGTCGTGGCGTTGGGAGCTCTATTTGCCTTTGTCGGATGGGTATCCTATGCGCTAAAAGACCATCAAGATCTTACCGAAGACCGTCGTCTCAAGTTGTTGAGGGCTAAGCAAGCAGCGCTGGAGAGCAAATACCTTGGACACCTTGGTACCCATCTCGCGGCAAGCGCCAAGGCAGCGCTCCCTCCAGGACGCGTCTTCCTTAATGGTGTGCCTCGTTATGTAGTCACTGGCGACAAAGGCGAGGAAGACGCCGCTGAAGAACTTCGCGATCAATGGCGTCAACAGCAAATGCAGATGCTAGGACTGGAAAAGAGGATTGTGGAGCTTCGAGACAGTGAAGACGACACGCCCAGCATTGGTGTTCTTTACGTGGAAGTGCAAGGGATCAGTCTTCTTCCGATAGCGTCGCCCATTCACTCGTTTGTGGAGTTTTGCGTACAGTCTGGGACTGTTGGAACCGGCAGTGGGAGCTCACGAGGCGATTCAATGAGCACGAAGTCATTGGAAGCCTCCAAGGCTGCGAAGAAAGAAACTGGTGGCCGCATCGCATCGCCTGTGCCAGCACAAATGGCTAATACGTCGGTCAGCAAGAAAAGTCGATCTCCACTGTGGCATGAGAGCTTTGAGTTGCCTGTAACAGCTCTGGGAGACGTGTTAGCTCTGCGTCTTTGCGACGGTGGTCCAATGATACCTTCGGTGAGGCAGCGACGTGTTTTGGGGCGTGCGCAGCTTGGAATTGACGATGTTATCACTCGCACAAGCAGTTCTACGTTGCCCACCGCTGCGGTGGGGTTGCCTGCCGCAGCTAGTGTAGCAGAAACGAAAGCTACCAAGCCAAAGCCAAAAGCTTCATCTGAGTCGTCATCCTCTGGCAACGAAGACGAAACAGGTGACATAAATTCATCTCGATCCTCTGTCCCAAGGACGCATTCAGTGACCTCCAGACCTTCTTCGCGCTCGATAGACGTGCCAATGGCGACGTACGAGCTGCAGTTGGAGCTTCCTGAGTCGCTGCGACGTACGAAACAATCTGAAGTGACGAAGCACGGACCTCCACGACTTGCTCTACGCTGTGGCGTTCGTCTCAATGAACTGGGCTCCCTGCTCGTACAGCAACGTCGGCTGCGTGAAAAGCTTGCTTTGTTGCGTTCACAGGAGGTTCAGCTGTCAAGTTGGGGTGGAATGTAGCTGTAACTGTTGATCAACTAAGCAGACGGGTGTGTGATGGTGAATAACTTAAGACGTCCATTTGAAGCGGTCTATCTACGTGTTGCTAGGCTCGCTCAGCGGAGCTCCATGGACTCGCGGACCCAACAGAACGTCGGAGACTGCTGTGCTTCTCGAGCGCTTTGGATCTGGTCCTGTTGGTGGTGAAGGTATTGTTGCTGGGACTGCAGCTCCCACTGCGCTCTGGCAATGGCGTTCTCGTTGCAAGCGCGACCCGCACTGTCGCTTCCAGTGCTACCGTCGGAATCGGCCTCCGTCATGTACTTGGACAGCGTTCGCTTGCTGCCGACTCCCTTCATGTGACTCACGCCCACGTCGCTGCCCCCTCTACCCGTGAGTCTTCTCATGAGGTAGAGCATGCAGATGGTCGGGAAGATATTGGGGATTATGTTGTAGAGAATGAGATACACGATCATGGACATGGCAGCACCCGACTCGTTGAGTATCAGCGCCAATATGCGCACCACGTCCGACACGATGAAGATGGAGATGGCGAGCATAAGCTGATTGAGCGACTTCTCCACGCTGGCGGCCGGGACAGTTCCACGTGCAAGCAGCAGACGCCGACGTAGACGGAAACCCTGGTATCCCAGCAGAACGCCGTACGCGAGCACGACAAGCACACCTGAATAGGTCAGCACGCCTCGGAGAGCGCTTTTCATAAAGCTGTACTGGCCGTAGATGTCGTCGGTGTATCTGGAAATCAAGATAGGTACTATCACGCCCCAGAGTATCAGTAGCGCGTTGAGTACGGTGACGATCTTGGTCATGCGGCGTCGTGCCAGTCGCTGACCTGCCGAGACGACGCCAGCCCAACAGACAGCCAGGTACGACTTGCAGAAGGAGAGCAGCAGTAGCGAGTAGAGTCGGCACACGTACATGACCTCCCAGGTCTGTGATGTGGGGTACCAGATCCACTCGACGGCCTCGGGAAGCTGCAACAGTGTCGCTACGAGGAGCGTCACGTGGAAAGCCTTCTTGGCGCCGGCGCTCGAGTGCAGGAAGTGTAGGGAGGTGCGCCACGCGACGGCCAGCGATAGTGCCACGTACAGCAGCAGTGACAGCCAACCGCAGACCCTCAGCGTCACCAATTGCTTCTGTAGCAGCGTCTCGCCTTCTTCATCGTCCGCAGTGACTTCTGCTGTGGTGGTCGTCGTCCCTGTGGCTGGAGCTATGGAGCCTGTACCTGTGTCCTGTTCGGTGCTGTTGAAGGCGGAGCAGACGCCCGAGAGCGCCACCACTAGCAGCAAGAGGGCGCATTTGAGCCGCCCGCGCGCAGGACCTACGAGCACGAAGGTCATGCTCGCCACTGCGCTGCTTTTACTATGGCAAACAACGATGACCGGCTCCTTTTTCTAGCTGACTTTAGGGTACGGACCGCACCACACCATATGTACATCGTTTTTTCTCCTTACAAAAAAACAGTGTAGCATCTGCCACCCCATCCTGGCCACATTCCCTTGCGCATGAAATGGCATTGCCACTTGCAAGCTACCGCCGCATGTGCTTCGTGCATCCCCTGAGTTCGAGCTTGTGGAGAATTATTATGCGCCCCGCTCCCAGTGCGACGATATGGAAGACATACAAGCCAGGCGCCGCTTATGCTGACGTCGCTCGCGAACGAGACCTCGTTGCGATGGTCGAGCGCCGCCACGTTGTCGGGGCGTGTCCTAATGCCGTTCGTAGAGACGGGCTTCTGCGTAGCAGCATCGCCTTGAGTCAATATCGGCCCCCAGCACAGCCTGTGCCACAGGCGCAGCGCTCAAATCACGAACGCGAGCTCTTGGCGTCGTTCCCGCCAACCTCAGACCACACGAGAGTCTCGTGACGAGAGAGGTCGGAAGAACACTTAGCCTCTCGACTTTTCTGCTGTTGCTTGTGGTCCACCGAAGCCAATGTTGAAGTGTGCCAGTGACAACTCCATTGCTGGGCCACACGTATTGAAGTCGCGCTCGCTTACAGAGAGAGAGAGGAACGGCTTGACTAAGCAGCGTTGAATTTGGCAGCAACCTCTCTATGCTTGGAAGGGACTTGGGCTCAAGTTGAGCAACCTCATTCACTGTTGTCTTGAGAAGTTCGACTTCAAGTAATCATTTGGGACATCGATTGGTAGTAGAATAGCAAATATTGCTAATTCATCAAATTACTCATATCAAATTAAGCAGATAAAATGATATGTTATCATGTTAGAATTAGAGATATAGTTCGGATATTATAATTCCATCCAAAACAGTATAGCTGAGAAACTACTATTATTAATCGGCTGAAAATCTTTGAGAGAAAGTGAAAATTTTGTTTCTAGAACAACTACAGTTTGAAGAAGCAATAACTCAATAAGAACTTATACGTGACAACGGATTTTCTGTTATTCAGCCTCAGTGAGCGGAAAGTCTACCAAAAACATTCTTACAGCAATTGTCAAGAACAAACTAGTAATGCATAACAAAGGTTTTTACAAATTAAAGTAAACTAAAAATGACATTTGCTAATGTCATTATTAGTTTTCATATTACATTTTATAAAAAATTAAACTCTAACTTTATAATATAGTAATATAAGCCTTTTCATTAGTGAATAATGAGACCATCTTTAGAACTATTAGTATGATACAAAATCAATTTAACTTCCAATGACAAATTTTGGAATAATATAATATAATATTTTAGAAAGTAGTTGCTGTGATCATTGAGAAACCAAGTGGATAAAATGCTTTTTACTAGAATGCATATTCACAGATATTGGCTTAAGTAGTAGCCTACAGAGTAAAGTACAAAGAATACTCTTGCACATTCTAATACTACTAGTGGATATCAATCATCTGAATAGTAGTATACAGTATTAGTGTATTGTGAGCTTCGAGAGATACAGTGTTCATTAATATACGTTAAGATCATTATGACCATGTGATCATCAAACATCTGTGTCCGGCAAGTACATGAAATTAATGTGCCATCAACGGCTATCTCTACTATGATATCACTACTTTAAAATACTTTCACTACTAGTTCTATTACAACTACTAGTACTGATACTGTTTTTGTAAAAAAGAATTGTAGTAGCACATTATTATCCAAAAGAAAATGAACCAAGCCAAAGTTATAATACTAGTGTTTCACAGAATAATGTTTTTTTATAGTACAATGAGATTTATAGCAAATACATACTGTCGAATGAAAAGCAGAGTATGATAGCTTTCATACCCGTCCGCTGCCGCAAGATTGTGGCCTTTGTTATGTAGTCTATAGGAAAATTCTCTTGTAGGTAGAGCTACTGGGATGACTGAAGATTTGTATCATATTGAGCTATCAACAACTACTACTCCAGAGAGAGTACCTCGCTTCCGACATTAATATTATATGTATTACAACTACTACTAGTATTCATACTTAGTATGAAATATTGATAAGACCTGATATTAGTCTTGTTGTTTAGTGTTCTTCAATTTACTAGTGTGCATTTCACTGAGAATCATCGGCGAAAAAGAGATCAGCCCAAAATGATGCCGCCGATCTCGCACCCGCGTCGCAGCAGCGCAAGCACGGGTGCCGACAGCGATATGTTCGCTCGTTCCGCCGTCTTATCGACCTCGTCCACTTCCCATGCGGAGCGCCAGCCGCTGCTGTCTGGTGCGCCACCGCCCCAGGTGTTCGCTCATCCGGTCGAGTGTGCGTCACTCACCAGCCGCCTTCTACTACAGTGGGTCATGCCGTCCGTCACACTTGCCAACCGGCCGGAGACTCATACGCAGTATCAGAGGCAGTTCCAGCCGCAACAACAGCGCCAGCGAAGCCGAGGATCTGCCAAACGAGGGCTCCAACAAGCGGACGTCTGGGAACTGCCGCCTCGTGCGCGGGCCGAGCCTGGCACCAATGCGCTGCAACGCGCATGGATCACGAGTGGCTCCTTGTCAATGGCTTTCGTCAAGGCGCATGGGCTGAAGTTCGTTGGCCTCGGCGTTCTACATGCCATCGTGCAGCTCTGTGACCTGTTGGGGCCCTATGCGCTGTTTCGAGGCGTGCTACTGTTACAGGAACAAGAGCAGCAATACCAAGAGGACGACGACACTAGACACAGCCTTCTTTTCTGGCTGGGAACGCTTCTCTTCTCCCGAATACTGCGCTCACTTCTCTCAGCCTTCGTTCGCGCAGAGATGCAGACGTTGACGCTGCGACTCACTGCGGCACTGCAGAGTCTGGTGTTCCAGAAGGCCCTGAGACTCCCAAACGCCTCAGTACGAGACGCTGACGCTCTGTACGCGTCTGATGTGATGCAGCTACTGCATGGCGCTGCATGTCTGCACGAACTATGGGTAGCTCCATTAATGTTGGCGCTGATTCTAGCTTTGATCGAAAAGTTCATTGGCGTCTCAGCATGTGGAGCTGTCGTGGGTGCACTAGTCATGACACTCGTGGTCTCCCAGGTACTGAATCAACTGCAGCTCCGCTCTCTAGACCGACTACGACGAACACGAGAGGACCGACAGAACTCAGCAAACGAAATGGTCGACGCTATGCCTGCAGTCAAGTTACATGCGTGGGAACCTGCTGCAAGAGCGCGTGTAAATGCCACACGCGGTCGTGAACTGGCAGCTCTGTGGCGATTCCAAGTGCGAGGTGCCGCCGAAGCAGCTTTCAACTTCGCGACGCCGGTATTAGTAGCCACAGCCGCCCTGGTTGTGGGCTACCACTCGTCCACGCACCCACTCACTCCAGCATCAGCATTTGCCACACTGGCGCTTGTGCGTCTCATGCAGACGCCACTTCGATCGCTTCCCGAGGCGATACTAGGAGCTCGGGCGGCGTGGCAATCGCTGCACAATTTGTCGCACTTTATGGACCAGGAAGAGCTGAATCCGTACGCTGTAGCTGGACGTGACAGTCTGGGGATGGTAGCCAAGTACGATCCACAAGATGTCGTCATTGCTATTGAAGATGCCACGTTGGGGTGGGCTACAAACGGTCCAGTGATTTTCCAGCATCTGGACGTGAGTGTGGGCGCTGGAGAGCTGCTAGTGGTTCATGGACGTCCAGGCAGTGGAAAGTCTTCGTTTCTATCGGCTCTCGTGGGTGAATTGCAAGCGCGTGATGGAAGTGACGGTGCTGCTGGGCGCGTGTATGTCGGTGGTTCCGTAGCTTACTGTCCGCAGCAACCGTGGCTGCAACAAACACTTTCTGTGCGTGATAATGTGCTGTTCGGTCTTCCATTTGACCGTCGCAAGTACCAGCGCGTGCTTGACGCCTGTGCTCTCGTTAATCCTCTTGCAATGCTGTCAACTGGTGATCACACACTGGTCCAAGACTGGAAACCAACTCCAGGACAACAATCTCTTGTCAGTTTGGCGCGTGCTTGCTATAGTGATGCAGATGTGTATCTTCTAGACGACCCACTGGCTCGTGTCCACCCGAGATCTGCAGCGCGTGAGATTTTCTCTCGCTGTTTGCTAGGACTCCTACGCAACAAGACACGAGTTGTTGTTACGACACGTGCAGAGTTCATTAACTCGGAGTTGGTAGACGACGCCATTCGCTTTGAAGACGGCGGTCGACTTGTGCATACGCGGGATATTTATAAAGGTAAGGGACGGAAGGAGCAAGAAGGAGACGAAGACAGCGACGAAGAACAGGAAGAAGCTGTCGAGGACAGCTGGGTGCAGTACTCTGCTTCTGGTGTTGACGTTGTGAGGACCGATGAGCCGCCATATTGCCCGACAGAGGAGCCTGCAAACGTCGAGCTGTTGTGTATGGAGAATATCGTCAACACAAGTCGCAATTCACTGAATGAACGACCGATGCGCGAGTTTCTCTCGTGTGAAACAACAGCAGATGCAGAGTGGAGAGAGGGGGAATGGCTGCTCAAGTCGGTCCGTGCTTATACGCAAGTTCTTGGCGGTCTTCGAATCGCCCTGTTGCTCTTCATCCTGCTGTTCATGTGGCAAGCTTTGCAGCTGATGAGTGAGCTGTGGGTCGCGTACTGGGTCCACTCAAGCAGTCAAACGAACTTGGTGGCAGATCAACTCATTTACGCTGCGTTGGCATTAGGAGCTGGGCTTCTGGCGCTTGGATATTCACTTGGTATCGCTGTGGCAGCAGTTCAAGGAGCGCGTCGTGGTTTCTTGTCCCTGGCGTCCGCTTTCCTACACGCTCCTCTGGTGTTCTTTGATGCATTTGGCGCTGGAAGCGGTAGGGCCCGATCGAAGCGCCTCAGTCTGTCCAGAAGACGTGAACTCGAGCGAGTGTATACGAATAAGGATCTCACTGCGTTGGATACAAGAGTCCCTCTTGCGATTGGTGCTATGCTGGCTCTTGGAGCTTCTACTTTGACAGCGCTACTGACTGCCGCGGCAGTGACACGTTACTATGCAGTGCTTCTAGCGCCTGTGGTGTACATGTATGTACAAGCTGCGAGAATATATCTGCGACCGGCCCGCGATCTTCTTCACTTGGAGCGCACAGCGCGACAGGCCGCTCGTCGTCACGCGGCCGAGACGCTAGCAGGCGCCCGAGTTGTTCGAGCCTTTGGACTGGCGCATTTGCATCGTGTTCTGGGTCACCATTTCTGGCTGTTGGATGTTGCAGCTCGTGATGCTCATCTCGGTCTTCATATCGACCAGTGGCTTGCGTTACGTGTGCAGTTGTACGGGGCTGTGATCGTGGGGATTGTGGCAGCGTCGTCCTTCCTGACTCTGCGTTATACACTGAGTGCAAGTGTGCTGGCTTTGGCGCTATACGAAGCGCTGGTGGTTGATAGTGGCACGCTGGAGTCGCTTGTACGAGTGTGGGCCTGGTTAAGTCCTGTATTGCCTATTGCCGCTCGAACGCAGGCTGCTGTACGAGGAGCGGAAGTGATCACGGAGAGTGCGGCGTACTCTACTGCAGCCGCACGACGCGCGTCGGCTCCTCTTACGCCTAACGAAGTCAACCCGTCTCTCTCGTGGCCCACAAAGGGCGATCTACGCTTTGATGCCGTGAGTTTCCGTGATCCTGCTGCTGCGATTGTTGACGAGCTTACCGACATGTTCGAGATTGGCGATGGGGGTGCTCCACCCTTAGCTCTTAAAGGCGTGTCGTTCCGTCTACAAGCTGGAGAGAAAGTGGCTATTCTCGAGTCATCTGCAGCGTCGTCAGTGTCTTCAGTGGGTCGTGCATTGCTGCGCTTACATGAGTTAACAGCGGGGCGGATCGTGGTGGATGGAGTGGATATTGCCACTCTAGGACTGCGTACTCTTCGCTCGCGTGTGGCGTGTGTGTCAGCAGAAGCACCTAACGCTGCATTATACGACGGATCGGTGCGTACGCAGCTCGATCCAAGTGGCAGGGATATCGAAGACGAGCGACTGTGGACTGTGCTGCGTACTGTGGGGCTTGCAGACAATGTGGCTACACTGGACGGACCGTTCCCAGGTGTTTCAAGTCTCCAGCAGAACCCGACAAAGCGATTCCGCTTGAGTTTGGCTCGTGCACTGCTGAGTGAGCCATCTGTAGTGGCGCTAGCGTTCGCTCCTGCGCTTGTTCCGCCACCCGGAGACGCGCCAGAAATGCCCCAATTTGCTCTGGATGACGCTACACTTGATATCCTATCGCGTGTGGTGCATGAAGAGCTGTGTGACGCGACTGTGCTGTTTTTACTACCGTCGGCTACGGCATCGCCACAGCATGATCAAGCACAAAGAGCGATGCTGTTGAATGCTGTAGACCGCGTGCTTGTAGTGGTTGATGGCGAAATGGCGGAGCTTGGGACACCTGCAGACCTGGCTGTGCCTGTACCAGACCCGGATAGACTGGAAACTCTGGCTGAGGTTCCGAGTAGATTGGAGCTGTCAGATCTGGAACATCCTAGTGAAGATGGTGGTGAAAGGGAGCTACAAGAGCAGAGGGAGTCGGTGACGAGTGGGGAGTTAGTGATGGATACAACTGACAGTGCAGTCGAGTTTGATACCGACAGTGCTGTCGAGACAGAGTGAAGAATCAAGTTGCAAGTAATATGTGAATAGGAATACTATTTTATGAGCCTAGTAAAGATTTGTTAAGTAAAACGGAAAGAAGGATTCCTGTACTTTCATAAGTAATATATTGAGTTTCGCGTCAATTCGTAAGCGCTGACCACTTACATTTTATCAAAAAGAAATATTCTTACTCGTATTTTGACAAAGGCTCACTATACAACGCCTTGCCATCCCGAGTTTCCAACAAATCGTAAGTGGAATCGTCTTACGATAACACGCTGTTCCAATTGGCCAAAATTGATCTAAAACTATCCAGAAGCCACTGTAAAATGAGTGAAGGAAGCGCGCAACAGACCAGCGAAAGCGCGGCCTGCAGGATGGCTGTAGCTGACGTGGAGGCAATCCGAGATGCCTGTGTTACCAAGGAAACACGAGGGAAGTACAAGAGTAGCTTGAACGGCATTGCAAAGTGGATTCGCAAGGAGCTTGCTAAAGTCGACCACAACACGGATCGATTCTTTGACAGCAGTGGTGAACTTAATCTAATGGAGTTCACGCCTCCGTATTTTGAGCAGTTTCTTGTTTACAAAAGCCGTGGTGTGAAAGCTGGGACACTAAGTGGTTATCGGAGTGCAATTAAGGACCTGTATAGAGTGAGGCGTCTAGCTTTGCCGCCTGAATATGGAGATGGAATGAAACAGCTTTTCTCGGGAATGAAGCGCATGGAGGCTGATAGTGACCAGATTAGTAACCCGAAGACATCCGGGAAGCAGCCATTGACCTACTCGCTTTACCAGAAACTCTGTAAAGAAACTTTGGAACTTGGTGATGGAGGTTTTTCTCATCTCTTCCTAACATCCCAATGGAATTTAATGTGCAGATCAATATCTGTTCAAACCGTACAAACTCAACATTTTGTGGCTAAAGACGATGGCATTGGTGTAATATTTGTCAAGACAAAAACGAATCAGGAAGGCACTGGGCCGCGTGATCCTCGTCACGTTTACGCGAATCCGCTAAGTCCTTCTACGTGTTGGGTAACAGCGCTCGCAATTTACTTGGCGTGCCACCCGAGATTGCAACAGGGGCCACTATTCCCAGGGTCCAACCAGAAGCTTCGATTTAGTAAGGCTTTGGGTAGTCTTCTAAAACTCGATGGTTCCGCAAAAACCTATGGTACTCACTCGGTACGAAAAGGTGTCGCGACATTTGCGTGCGGTGGAAGTACTGGTGGTCCTTCAATTGTGAGTGTTTGTTTACGCTGTGGTTGGTCACTTGGTGGAGTTCAGGATCGCTATTTCCGCTACGAAGCAGCAGGAGACCAATTTTTAGGTCGCGTCGTTGCTGGGCTGCCTATAAACGATTCAAAATTTGCTACACTACCGCCACATTTTATGGCCACCGTGATAGCACAACAACATCAGTGTTGAGAACGGTTTTTCCGAGTCTTGCGGATGAACCTAATTTAAATGGCATTTTACAGTTATGTCTGGCGTCGCTGGTTTTTCACAGGGAGTATTTACAGCAGAATATGCCAACAAACCACCCTTTGCTCTCGACAATAGTATTTACGAGTGTGAGCGTTTTTCACAGCCTACAAGAACAACTTCAACTTGGGGATTCGAGCTGGATGCACCCGACAGGTATTCCGCCCTACATTGAGCTCTACAAAAAACTTGATAAGCAGCAGCAGTCTATCGACTTACTTCCTGATAAACTTGAGCAAAGAATGGAAGCGATATTGGAAAAGAAAGGTGTGGCAGCGGGTAATATAACGAGGGACCTTTTGCATGAAGAAATAAGAGCGTTATTAGAAGAGGTTGGGCTTCAAAAAGAGAAACCAGCAGCCTTATCAACTTTATCGACAGCACAAACTCGCTATTATCATACATGGGGTGGGAAATTTCACGTGCTTCCAAAAGACTTCGCCTTTCCAAGTATTGATCCGCTGGGGGCGTGGATACTGTGGTGGTTCGGCAATCCGGAGCTTAACTATCCACCATACAAGGGTATACCATCGGACGATCTGGACACGCCACAAAAGAAAGCAACACTGTCAGAGTGGTCAGTTATGATGCGGCATATCATAAACGGGATTGAAAAAGACCTTAGAAAACCGATGCCGGCCATCCGTGACGAAGTTCATGCCATCGAGCTGTTTAAGATTGGGTACAACACACTGGAGTTAAAGCCAAGCAAACGAAAACGGAGAAATGCCCAAATCAAGCTCACCACAGTACTAAGACTCATCAGGGAAGCCGGCCAGGAGCAGAGAAGTCCGGATGACATATGTGGGCGGCCACTTAGGCGCCGGAAGCGGCGCACGCGTCACAGCAATAGTACCTGTGCTACAGGGAACTCGTCAGTGCGTGATGAAGAGTAAACTTTCTAGTGCGCGACTCAGCGTTAAAATAACTGTTTTCATCCAATCAAAAGTCTTTCCCATAACGTCGGCGATTGCATCTTACGTTTTCTCAACTCAATTGAGTGTGGTGCATGACTGTAGCCATGCCACTAGTATATATGGCTACACTTGAGAAACAATGGCTACATGAAATGGGATGCATAAGCGTTGCCATTTTTTAATCATTTTCTGCATATTCTTCCATGGTGGAGCTGCGCTTCTCGGCGTCCAAAGTGGCGCTGGTCACAGGGCTGCACGACTTCGGTGATGTGACGGAAGAGGTACTTGACTGTGTGTACCAAGACCGAGAGGAGCTGCTGGCGCTCGACGCGGCCCGGCTGCGACTGCGTCTCGTGTCCAAGGACGAAGAACTGGAGCTGCTTGTCCAAAAGAGTGGAGCGACGGCGGCTCCGCAGCTTCGGGCTGCACTGCGCTGGGCAAAGGGTCGAGCAAAACCTGCACATGTGGAGGCGGCTCAAAGGCTGCTAGCGGGCGTGGACAAGCGGCTGGTCGAGGCGCAGAAGAGCAACAAACTCGCGAAAGTCGAAGCGCAGGAGGCGCGTAAGCTGCTGGCCGAGAAGATTCACACAAGTGTCGGCACTCGCAACGAGTCGCTGGCTCTAGAGGTGGGCGACACGACAGTCTAGAGTGGAGAAGATCTGACGTACTAACTGTTAACTGCTTCTGCAGGCTTATGAGCGTCAGACTGGGTCCAAAGTACGCCTCACGAATGAGCATTTCTATTTCCTCACGTTCCCACGTCCACCAGAGACTGCAGACAAAGAAATAGCTCCTGTAGACTATGCGCTGCTGGCTGGACAGAGTCAACGTTCAGTGGTTCTCAAAAGACCCCGTAGACGATCTCGTGAGACTGCTGAAACAGTAGACTTGATGGATGAGAAGGAAGAAGATGGCTACTTTTCCATCTGTGGCATGGTGGATGGCGTGGCTGATGCGTTAACCATATCAATGGACGACGAGTGGGAGTTAACTCCCGTCGTGGTAGAAGTAAAGAACCGAATGCGAGGCATCCGGAACCCTCCACCACTCTACGACCACATCCAATTAGCAGTTTACATGAAAATGCTGGGGGTCGAACATGGCGATCTGGTTCAATGTATCTATGGGGCTGACCCGCGTCCTACTATCCAAATATCACGCGTGTCGTTGGGTGTTGCGCCGCTGTGTCTTCCAGCGTCTTCAACGAGCCAAGAGCGAGATATCTGGACTGAAGTGATCGTACCTCGACTCTACACATTCACAGCGGCTGTACAAAAGCTGCGGGATAACGAACTACTGCGACTTGACTACCTCAACGGAACTGAGGAAGAGCGGCGTGAAATTCTACGAACTGAGTGTGATTTTCTGTAAAGATTTTTTCTATTCAATATGCAGATTTTCTTTACATGATGAGGCAACAGCGTTGCGTGTTCCGAGTCTTTCGCGCTTCGTTGGCTCTGTCTTCGGCCTCGATTTCATCGGCCATCGCTGTACGAGCCTCCTGGTCCCCCTGCTCTCCATTGCTCGCGCCGGGTATCACTGCACGTACTACTTTATCGCAGAAGGAGAGCTCGAACTCGGATACGGGGATGTTCGCTGCAGCTGCCGAGATGCGGTACACGGTCTTCAGGACATTGTCTCCACTCTGCGCTGACATAAGGAAACCACCGAGTAGTGTATGCTGTCGAATGAAAGCCTCATGCTTCTCGTTCGAGATGACGCGATGAGCGACAAGGTCCGTCTTGTTACCCACGAGGTACAGATTCATCTGCTTGCTACCGTTCTCGCGCGCTACTCGCAGCCAGTCCTCGACGTCACTGAAAGACTGAGCGTCCGTCACATCATAACACAACAGCGCCACATGCACACCGAAGAGATACTTGCTCAGCATCTTACTGTTGATCGTCTGGCCTCCAATATCCCACACCTGCAGCACAATTCGTTGGTCACGTGGTAGCTGCAGCTTCTTCTCGAAGAAATCGAGTCCGATGGTCTGCTTGTACACGCGAGCGAAGCCATCGTCCACGAACCGAGCGATGAGACTGGATTTGCCCACGGACCCATTTCCTAGCAGCACAAGCTTGATCGCTGGGTCTCCTCGTGCCTGCATCTTCACTTACAAACAAAAGAACAAAGTTATAAAGCCATGAAGCACAGAGAGTAACAACCTCCATCGAAGCGCTGCATTTGCTGCCTAAAATAAGTTCCACCACTTCACGGGCTGCTGCTTGCTGGTCGAGGGACTTGCTTCTTGCTCTGCTTATGTATCTTCAGTCGGAATAGCGGTAAGTGACGCAGTGCCCCCCAATCGCAGTTCATGAAACCGTGCCAGTCATCTCGCGAGCATCTATAGACAGCTCGGTCAGTTGGCTTGTCGCTCACTTCGATGCCATGGCTTACTTCCACTGCCGCCGGTTGTGATAGGTCATCGGACTATGGTGGCCTGCTCACCGCCTTCTTCCAACTGCTTGCTTTTTCACACTCCGCTGCTACGATTCTTTGCTGTATCCTTTTGCACTGTCAGTGAGTGAAGAGCTCGCTGTGCGTGGATCGGACCATACAGAATCAACTCTTGGCAGGTGTGCCTTGCGCAGTGGCGTCTTTCGGCGCAAACACTTTCTTCTTCTGTGAATCACGTATTATCATTAATTCTCCAGTACCAAAGGACTGGCCAAGACAAGTACTACGCACCCGCTCTCCCTTGTTGCCTGGCTCCTTCTTGCCACTGTTTCCTCCTTTACGACGTGGATGAGACTTCGCGTCGGTCTTACTGGAACCTTCACCGTCACCTCCATCACCACCATCTTTACCCTTTTTGGGGTTGTTGCGTCCACGGCCAGCATTTTTCTTGCCAGGCTTGGGGCCACGCTTATCAGACCCGCGTTCCGACAGAGTGTCAGCAGATGCAGTAGTTCCGTTCACCTTCGCAGCAGGTGCGGGGCAAGAATCGCTAGCCGCGATAGCAGCTTTAGTGGTCATGATACGCAACATTCCAGGCTGATTAGGCTCTGTCTTCGATTCCTTCGTCGACTCCTTCTTCGATGATGCTCTTCCACGTTGCTTGCGATTTTTGGGATCTAAAGCACAGTCCACAATGAGTACACTATTATTCGCAATGCCACCAGCTTTCGCTTGGGATTCTTTCTACCTTGAGCATTAGCCGCGTCACCAGAGTTCTTCTTCTGACGATCCCTTGAAGATTTCGATTTGTCTTTCGTCGATTTCTGCTTCGTTCCCTGTTCAAAGCACCATAATCAGCGCCTATACAACGCCCCAGGAATGAGATTGACAACTTACATCCTTCTTTCCCTTCAGTCGACGCCCATTCTTGTCAACCAACTTGCCACCAGATTTTCCCTGTAAAGGCAGTAGTATCACACAACACGTTAGATAGCATTCCTACACGTAACTAAGTAGTAACCAACGCACTTTGCCCTTGTCGCGACTGTGAATCTTTCGCTCGTTCAAATACTTGACCAACGCAGCCACTGGCTTCTCCACCGTCTCACCTTCCGCTATATCCACAAGCGCCTCAGCACTCGGAAGTTTCTGCAACAATACCAGTTATTTCTCCCTCTCTGGATCTTATAACAACAGACAACAGTCCACTCACGTCTTTGGGCTTGGCCAGCTCCTCCAGGAACGCAATGTACTCTGGATCACGGTCGATCGTCCCAACTTTTGCGTCTTTGCGCTGCTTCTCGCGTGGAACTTTTTGGAAAGGAGCGAACTCAACGTCCAGCGGTTTGACCCCGTCCTTATCTTTCGTCTCTGGGTAGAAGAATTGCCCGTGTAGCGATGCAATGAGCTTGCGCGCCCTCTCTGGTTCCTTCTTCATGTCCACGTAGAGACGTGCGGGCGTCGGTGGGCGGTTGTTGCTGCGTTTACGGCCAGGAACGAAGCGCCAGATCAACTCGTCCTCCACCCCATGCGAATGCAGCAGCCCACGTGCTTCCTGCTCCGAAGCCGTCGGGGGAATATTGCGCACTACCAGCTTCTTCAGCACCGTCGTTACGGCACGCGTGGGTCTAGCGGACGTGGTAACGGCCGACGACGAAGCAGAGGACGACCCCCCACCGCCCCCACGTCCTCCGCCGCGCTTGTTTCCACTATTGCCTCGCTCACGCTTCTTAGGCTTCGTGCTCGAGCTGTCATTGCCTGCGCCGCTGCTACTACTGCGATCGCGGTCACCTCCTCGACCCCCGCGTCCGCGGCCTTTGCCTGAACCGCGGCGAGGCGGTGGTGACATGATGGCTAGAGCTTGCAATAGCCTTCTGACTGCTTTGGTCCTAGAGACTGTCTCTTGTACAGTTATAAGACACCTCAAATTTTAAGCGAATGAGAGGGCTGGAAATTAAACGCGTCAAAATTGAAGATACAATATTCTATTCTACTGAAGTGTGCAGTATATGAACTTGGCCTCACTCGTTCACTTCAGGACAACAAACTCAATGCCAGTCATTGTGATGTTTGGCCGCATGGGAGGTGACTCGAAGATGTCCCTGAGGGCGCCGAATTCGTTCAGTTGCGCGTCTCGACACCACGTGCATTGCCAGTGGTGCGTTGCGTGGGTCTTGTTGGTGAACTCGCCTTTCGGGAATCTCTGCAGCCATGCACAGGCTTCTTTTGCTGCATCATCATGACGCTGTCGACATGCTGTCTTCATGGGCTCGATGTTCCAATATGCTACCTCAGGGTAGAAATACTCGGACGTGAAGACGACCATGTCCGATCCTTTCAAGTTGAAGGTTGAATTTGGAGATAAATACGTCTGCTTGACCATGCGAGGGCCTGTGAGCTCCACCGCATCGCTTTTGAGGCGTTCCCGGTCGAATTTCTTCTTGATATTGTCTAGTACACTCAGCCAGAAGGGGTGCCTTGGTGCAGATGCCATCAAAGCGTTGCACAGTGCAGCAGAATCGGATTTCTCCAGCAATACTGAGTGCACAAGTGGCTCGGAGCTGAGGAATAGATTATTCTCTCGGTGCAAGTCGTCAAAAGGCTGCAAACACTCGAAATCCGCGTCGACGTACAGTCCTCCTACCTGGTGCAGCAACGCATAACGTGCCATATCCGCTAGACTCACTTTCCTGACAGCTTTGGCCACATGTAGGTACTGTGGATAGAGTAGCTCAAATAAGCGGAGGTTGTCTGCGTCGGTCCAGAAGACGTAGGTCCATGTCGGGTGAAATTCCACCCAGCTCTTCATCCACGGATGGAATCGCGTGGGGATTCGGTAAACGGACTTCCACGACTGGTGGATGAGGCGAGGGATCATGACATTGTCGGTGCTGGAGTCTTTTACCTCTGCTGTATCATAATCTGTGCTCTGCGATCTCTCCGTCACTGTTGTGGTGAGTATATGCGGCGACTGAAGACCCTTGAGGCGAGCGGGGATACCAATCCGAGACGACACGACGAGGACGCTCACGACAGACAGCGAGATGAGCGTGGTGAAGACGCATCGAAAGCGGGACGTAGATGTCCATGCGGGTGCACGCGTATGGGACTGAGACCCTCGCACTTCGGGCGGCGGCATGTTGTTAGTCGATTGCAGTGCGGACTATCCATGCTTTGAAATGCACGGGCGGGAGGGTCTTCTATTGAGGTTACTAAGTATACTAAAAGCAAGTGAAGACCACTTCAACTTGATCGTTGAGTTAGGATTTTGTGGGCGATCCAAGGTTGAACTCCTCGAGCCTTCGCATCATGGGCAACGAGCCACCGTCGCTCTCGAAGCTCGTGTTAGTGATCTCGATGCGCTCTCGCATCTTGTCCAGCGTCTCCTTGAGCATGTCACCGAACTCTTGAGCCATCTCTTCCATCTTGGCCTTGAGCTCCTGAATCTCCAGGTTCTTGGCGGCGATGATACGGTCCTTCTCGTGCTTCATCTCTTCAAAGTTGACTCGTGCCAGCTCTATACCAATATCAGAGAGCTGTTAAAGCATTTTTCACTAAGGCTCTCAAACGACGTACCAAGTTGGTCCCGGAGCTCCGTGTTGGTGTTCTCCAGAGTGTTGACCCGATTCAGCAGTTCCTCCTGCATACTCTTGTACTGCCGTGTCATGTCCTGCGTTATGCCGAACGTCTCCTTTCGTTCCCGTTCAAAGTCTTTTTGCAAGTCCGCCACTCGCTCTTGCAGCTCTCGCTTGGACTCGAGCGTCTTGACTGTGATCTCGTGGCGCTCTGCTAGTTGCATCTGCAGTGACCGATTCGCGGACTGGAAAAGCTTCGCCTGTTCTTCCGCAGTGAGTACACCACCATTCTCAGCGCCATCGTCTGTCGACGATTAGCATTAGCTTTGTGTGTATAAAGAGCACCGGAAGCAAGCGTACCTTTCTTCTCTTTGGCCTTCTTGGCTTTCTTCTCCTTCTTTGGCCCCATCGCGATGCAAAAGACGAAATGAAACACACGAAACGAACGACTTTGGCCGTGCTTTATAAAAATATGGGGCATTAATTGGCATCGAACACACGTGACGCTTATAAAACTTCTAGGACAAACTACAGTATACCACAACTCACTTCGCTCTTGCTCACGACCGATCTCTCCTGGACTTGATCTGTCGCTTTGGTTTGCCAAGCTCGCACTGATTCACTTGCTTAGCAAACCGCAGTGAGCACAGACTCTCGCTTGCCGATTCAAGTGTTGGAGACAAGTTAACCATCATCAAAGTCTTGCCATCCCCCGAAAGGCTGCTCTGGAGTAAATACGTCAACTTGGAATTTCGGAACGGAATCTACAACAAGTACAGAAAAAATCAAACAAAATGAGCGAGTCGCGTAATGAGAGCCTCCTTCAACCTGAAAAACTTACGTGAGAAGCCTTGTTTCCGATAGCATTGAAGACATCGGCCAAACAGCTCAGACTCTTGTTAATGGCTTGGGTCTCCTTCAATCGATCACCGGAGACATTTGATCGTGAAGCTCGCTCACTGCCTGCCAAGTCGACAAGATTCAACTGACCCTTCAGCATTACTCCATCCTTTTCGTTCACTCCTTGTAAGTGCAGAGTGAATACGCTATGGGACCGTGACGACTGCGCGTTCATGTCTGTACAAGCCACACTTCGGGCTCTACTGGCTCGCTCCATTAGAACTTCGACTTGATCTATCGCGGTAACGTCCACCATTGTCAGTCCTGGAACATACACGCCTCCTTTGGCATCTTTCTTGATGCCGAGTCTGTCGTCGCTGCTGCGCTTTGTGGCGAGTAAATCCTTCAAACTTTCGTTGTAGATTTCCAGGAATGAAACCTTCGTGACGTAGTTCCATCCCTGCTCTTTCAACGTCTCACACTCTTGGAGAATCATCTCGATGGCTCGTGGGATGATACCCCGCATCTGACCATTGCCACTTCCTTGCATCTATTAAATCAAACACAATATCATGTTAACTATTGCCAGTCCCTATTAATCATCAAACAAGGACACTTTACCGTGTGGGTTTTCCCGGAGCCAGTCTGGCCGTAGGAAAACAGACAAACATGGTACCCATCCAGAGAGGACTGGACGAACTCTGACACCTGCTCGAAGACTGCGTCTTGTCCGGCGGATGGAGGAAACACTTTGTCGAACGTAAAAGCAAAAGTATCAGGCTCGGAAAGGTTCTTTCCTGGACGACGCAGCTTCAAGCTTTCACCGTCGAAGTCGCATGAAATTACTGGAGTCGTTGTGTTCAGGTCGCAATGATCCGAGGGCAGGAACGGTCGAGTCCTAGCGAACACTCGGACATTTCCACGCAGTTCCTACGGATAGAGGCAATAAAACATTTAGATCATATCAACCTTGCAATGCACTAGAACAGCGGCCTTACCTGGATAGTATTGTGCATTGCTCTCCTCATCTTGTCGCCTTGCTTCACTTTCTCTTGCAGTTCCAGAATCAAACTATCCTTCTGGGCGATCGATTGGGCCCCCTGGTTGGTCAACTCAGTTAGACGCCGACGTAGAATGTCGGCCTCGCGTTTCACCTTGCACAGCTCTTCAACATCTCCATCTCGAACCGTGGAAGCTCGTGTCCGCAGCGTCTGGACTTCGCTCTCCAAGCTCACCTTCTCCTCCTGCAACCTGTCGATCTGACTCCTGAAGTTTTCTCTCTCTTGACGAAACCTCTCTTCCAGAATTTCAATTTGCATGTTATGCTGCTCCTTGGAGTCCACACCGGCAGACTGAAGTCGCTTCATCTCTGCTTTCACCGCTTCCATCTGAGCATTTACAGCGATATGTTCTGTCCGAAGTTCGCGTACTTGATCCTCGAGCATTTGTCGAACACCCCCCTCCACTCCAACCTTCTGCAAATTCTCTTGCAGATCACTATCTAACACCTTCATTCGAGCGCAAACTTGCTGCTCGCTCTGCTCAGCCTCCTTTCGGGCTTTGATTTCCAGCTACAGGTCATACAATTCACAATTAATAAGGCAACCCCATAGCACACATACAGCATGTAGCATTATTACATACCTCCAACTGATTGCGAAGATCACGCACTGTAGTTGAACTGGAAGACTCCTGTCGCTCGAGATTGCGAATAGTAGTTTGTAGTCGCTCCACCTTATCCGCCAGCTCCTTCTTGTCCGCTTCAACCTTCGTGCTCGTAGACGCGTTAAACTTTTGGATTTCAGTCAAACTCTTGACGAGATTTGACACTTCTCCATCCTTCTGTTGCAGCTTTTCCTTCAGTTCTGCCACCTCTTTCTCCGCACTGCTCACACGAGTCTCCAAAGCCTGATTCTTCGCCTCGAGAGTGCACTTCTCCATCTCCGTCCTCGTGCGTCGTTCCCGTTCATCGTTAAGGTTGTTTGCTGCATTGATAGACTTATCCGTGTAATTATCCAGATCCTTCTGCACCAAAACCAGTTCCTCCCGGGTCTTGCTAAGCTGCTCCTGCATCTTCTCCATCTCAGCCTGCTTGCGTTTATCGTCGTCGTGGCCTTTCTTCTCATAGGACAGTTCCAGTTCATGCTTCATCTCCTCAAACCGCCGAGACTCGTCCGTCATTCGTGCTTCATGTGCCTTCAGATCCAGTTTCAACTGCTCATTCGCTTTCTGAGTCTCTTCAAGCTGGATCTCAAGCTTCGCAGCGTTATCTCGAAGTACTGCATTGCTGCGTACAACCTCCTGCTCTGATGCACGGATTCGTGCGACACTTTTCTGCAGGATTTCATGCTGATGTCGTAGCTGTCTCAGTTCAATGTCTGACTGGTCCTTGCTCCTCGCCGAGTGCTGTAACACAGCCAGTCTCCGCTCTAGCGTCGCCTTCTCAGCAGTTAATTTGTTATCCATCGCTGTGCATTCTTTGCTGAAGTCTTGAATCTGTCAACAATAACAGCAACTTGTCAGTATCAAAGCTCCTCAATCATTCTTAATGCAGCACCCACTGTATACCTTAGCCACGATGTCACGCACGCCGGCCTTGAGCTGTTTGATGTAGTTAATCTGCTCCTCCTTTCGCGCTTTGACTGCGAACTTGTTGGTCTTGTGTTTGAACGCCAGCAGCTGCTCAAGCGTCGCCATCATCTCCTGACTGAAGCTCTGCTTGAATGTCTCCAGTATGTGGACGTCCAAATCAATGGGCGCTGCGATCTCCATTGCATCTACCGCTACTCTGCCTCCGATCAGCGTCCTGTCATGTACATTACTCTCCAGCTTGGTCTTGATACTCGTAGCGCTGGTGGCGGGTGTCGGCAGCTGCGAGATCGACGGCCCTTTAAACCCGAATCGACGAGCGCTGGACGGTGGTGCAGCGACAACAGTAGGCCTCGGCACCTTCGCAGGAGGTGGGCACTCCGTTGCCGCGTACGAGAGACTCGAGACGCCGCTGCTGCGTGTGGGCAGCTCGGCTCCCTTCCTGCTCCGCTTGGTGCCCATTATCGCTTTTTCTTTCTTGGTTTGAAAATTTAAACTGGGCCTTTGTATTGGAAATAAACGGGTCGATACGGTACAGTTCCCGCTTTTGAATTTGAAATTGCTTTCATTTGATCAGAAAGGTACGACTTGTATTGGTAATAAATCGACAGAACATGTTTGCCAAGCCCCGCAACCTCCAGCGACTTCCTTAGTGCAGATCCCAGCGCCAGACCGTCGCGTCGTCCGAGCAGGTGATGATAGTGCGGCCGCTCTTGCTGAAACACACTTGGCGCACCGTGCTCTTGCAGCTGTTGTGTGTCAGCTTGCAGACCGAGCGCTCCTGCTCGGCGTCCAGGTCAAAGACGCTTACAACGCCCTTCTTGTTGCCCACGGCCATGACCTCCAGTTGCGAATCGAGGCCGAACTTCATGAACCACAGATCCGCATCCTTGTAGTGATACTCACGCAGCACCATCACAGCGTCCTTCCCTCGCGACGGGTTAGGCTTCCAGAAGATCACCTTGTTGCCCGTCGACTTGGACAAGATCAAGTCGCCCACCATACGCACGCAGTCCACATAATCTGCGTGCACCTTGCTGGTGCAGAACGCTGGGAACTGAATGAACTTGGTGTCAAACGGACGGTCCTTCGGGCGAGGCTCCGTGTATGATTTCTTGATGGCTGTCTGGACGACCTCGTCCTCCAAGTCCCAAATCTTGACCGTGTTGTCCATACCGGACGACACAAAGCACGAGCCCTTCAAGTGGATATCCAGGCTCAGCACGTCGTCACGGTGGCCCATGTGACCGGCAAAAATCGCAACACACACGCCCGTGAGCGAGTTCCAAAGACGAATAGACTCGTCCTTGCCAGCCGAGAGCAGTAGGCTGGGGTCGACCGGGTGGAATTTCAGTTCGTTGACTGAGTTACCGTGTCCAGACAGTACAATCACCACTGACTGAGTGATGCAGTTGATCACCTTAATGTGGCCGCGGAAGCCCGCAGCCGCGAGCAGTGGTGAGCCGGTAAGTACGTCGACAGTCCACGCCGCCGTAAAATACTGCTCCTCCTGATCGCCGTCGCAATACACCTGGATCACGTCTAGTCCTCCATTCTCCAGGCACTCGTACACCGTCAACTGTAAAATGCACACAACAGCAAGAGTCAGTCAGTAAGCGTATACGAGGTGGTTGTAGCTGGAGGTGCTGCATACTCGGTTGCCACCAGCCACAGCAAACATGCGCTCGTAGATGGGCAGGACATCACAGAACGTGACACAGTAGAGGGCATTCCCGTGATCTTCTCGGGCGTAGGCTACGCAGCAAATGCGCACAACGACAACAGCATCACCGTATCAGTAATTGCGCCAAACCAGTCAAACCAAATCAATCGATGAGCGTTATCTAACGCCTCGTTAACTGCTCCTGTCGGTCACGCACAAGAAAACTTGTAGCCTTTCTTGCGAAGACGCGGGAGGAGCGACGTCGGCGTGATATCGTCCGCCGCCGCACCGTCTAGTGGCGCCGGATTGCTTGGAAACACTACAGACTCGCCCATGTCCTGCTTTTCTACAAGTGCAGCGGAAAAGTTGATCATGTGGTGCACATCAATTTTGTATTTACACTAATGATACACCAACTGAGGTCCGCTCCGAACAGGGATCATAACCCGAAACTCGGCTTGTGATCGGGCAATTGATCTCCAAATATTTCCGATGTTGTAACCCAGTGTAACCAATGCGATCCGATTTCGAGCCCTTAAAAGGATTGTCGGGCCGCGTGGTGGCGAGAAATCGCCGCCGGATACCATGCTCGCCCAAAAGGAGAATATGACCAGAAGCTACAACTTATAAGCAACATTCTACACTTTTCAGTTTAGTTTGTCACATGCTTCGGCTAGAGCAAAAGAGACAAGATAAAAAAACTTTATTTTATGTTGTGTTTTGCCTGCTGCACTCTATCGGTCGGCCGTATTAACGCAAGACGACTGTAGTAGGAGTTTAAAACACGCATGCAGCATGCTAAGTCTGTCCCTTTATTTTTTACGCTTGCAATGCTATGCATATAGCAAAGAGAGGAAAATATAAGATAAGTTTTTATAGTATTTTTCATCCGTTGCGCTCTATGAGCAGGTCGCGATCCGGTTAGGAACGGCCAGCTCTCAATGCCGGACAAGAACGTCCCACAGGATCGCTCTTAACTGGATCGAAATCAAACCACTGGCTTCTGACTGGGTCAATCTGGGTTCATCTATTTCCGATCTTGTAGCCCGTATGATGTAGGGATTTTCACCTGAGTGTTCGTAGCTTGAGCAACTTGAATGTGGCTGTGGTGGAGTGGGGTCGCAAATCACGTTGCGATCCACTCTGACACACAGTGCCCTGGACTGCTGACTAACGGAGGGGGTACTCCGATAACCGTGGGGTTGCTGAGGGCTCACGTTGTGTACCCATCGGCGGGGCTGGTTACACTCCTCTGGTGGACTTGATGGGAAGCTTGGCCTGGGTTGGTTCCGTCTTGGCGGGACGCAGGATGGTGGGGTTGCGTAGCGTGGATACTCTTCAGGCTACGCGCCACGTAGGTCGTCGATGTTGATCGACTTGGGGTGTGGTTGTTCCTTTGCGGGGGGTTCCTTGTTCCTTTACTTGCGAGGCTTGACCGCTTCCTATAGCGGGGGAAGTTGAGGGCGAGAGTGGAGACGATCGACCGGCCAAGCTGCAAACTCCGGCGACTGACACGTGTCCTTGGTAAAATTAACTTGATAACTGTATGGGCCAATATACTTCCCGCTACAGCTTCCCAACCTTGAACCGAAGACACTTGTTCCTGATAAGGTAAGTTCCACTCTGTTATTCCCTTAAGTTCTAGCGGTCCAATACCTTCTGCCCATCCTATAGATGCCCTTTCTATCCCTTCTGTAGCCTGGTCGCGTGGTACTTACCATGGGTACAAATCAGTTGATGTGAAACGGTTGGCGGGAACCCGGGTTCCCCCAAATAAAACTGAAAAAAATCCGGATTATTTATTTTTATTCGAATGTAGGTGGTTGCAGAGTTTTCATCTTCCACTTGGACGAAGCGAGCACTAACAATGGCCCCACGCCGAAGTGGAGGCTCACAAACGACCATACCCCCGCGAAGTCCCAGGAAAGTGCATGATCGAGATGAGGCCGCGTATCTACGAGCAGTCGCTAAACTTGGACTGGAGACCGCCAAACAGCTACGTGCGGACTGGGATTCGTGGGACACTGGGTATGGTGGTAAGGAGTGGAGCCAATCTGAAAACGTCGTGTTGCTACCTACCCGTTTTTCGAGCAATGGGGAACTGTATTTCACAAGTACATTACTGTACCTCCAGCGGGTTACACCTCCAATTACCTCTTTGAAATAGACCAAGGTATCTGTACAGCTCGAAAAACGGTGCAAACTCCAAATGACGAGGTTATCACGTTTAATATGGTCAAATGTACGAGCATCGAAACTGTTCGTAAGGCATTTATCACGGAGCTTTTTGGTCCAAACTATATTGGAAGCTTCAATCCACAGTGTGCACCTACCTCGCAAGCCAGCGCAAGATCTGTCGGACAAAAAGATGAAGTCCTTATCGGCAAAATATTTTTCGATCCCGCAACAACACCTTACCGACTACCCGGCAGTACCTGATTCCATCATTGACGCTCCTGATTTGGGGGCTGCAGCTAGTGACGCCGAAAGGACGCCCAAGTTCCAGTCGAAGCGCAAGCCAGGCTGACCAAAGAAGAAGAAGACCACCTTGAAACCTAACCAACCTTCCATTCTACAGTTTTTTAGTACGGCACAAAAGCCTTCTTCCAGCTAACAACCGGCCTGTAGGTGGCTTTGGACAAAGCACTTGAGATTCATTTGCTTATACTTTTTATACCATGATACCCGTAACTCCAATAAAAATTTTCCTACTGTAGAAGGGTATTACCGGTACTTTTCCCAGCTGGCGGGGCAGGATGGGAACCCGGGTTCACGCCAAACGTTTCATGTGTCCACCGTAGATCGAATCCTTGGAGGTAGATCGCGTGTCTAAATGATTGCACCATGTCGATCCACTCCGCTGATTACGTAATCTTCACGGATGATGACGTAACCACTGATGCGCCGTCGTCGACCATGAGTCTCAGAACTGGATCGAGTCACATCCCATCAATCAGCCTTTTGTTCCCAGAAGCCAACTGTCACTTCACCACAATCGTCCTCTGAGTGAGAGTCCACAACACCAACTGTCGGGCTTCACTCACTGATCTTCGCCTCTCACAGCAGCCTCTCGCCTTCGTCGTCGCTCGCCTTCGGTGTTAGCACAGCCACGTCGCTAATTCACATCCCCCGAAGATAGCAGCGCTTTCGTCGACCTCACGTCTTCGCCTTGCTCTTCTCCTCGCTCTGCCGCGCGTGGAGGCCCAATCACCGTGTCGACCGTCGAGTTGGCGGATCCTTCGCTAGACCTTGCTGGTGTGCGGGCCTCGTTGAGCGCGTTGCAGCAGGCCATCGACCAGACCGAGGCACTGCGCGAGCTTCGCTCGGATCACGAGGTTCTGCGCCGCAAGTTTCTGGCTACACGACGTCGCGCGGAGGACCTGGATCGTCAGCTTGTTGACGCGGCTGAGGCTGCGTCGCCCTTCGTGCTCTTTTGCCAGCGCAAGTACGAAGTGGTCCATCACCAGCTGAAATCCACTCGGACGGAGCTCGCCGAGTGCCTGAGTGCGCTGCAGGAGCGTCTCGATATCTCCCGCGAGCTCGAAGCTTGCCGTCTTCGGTATCATGATTTGCAGCTCCGCTACAACGAAGCGGTGTCTGAGTTTCAAGATTGGATCTCCAGTTTGGAGGCACAGCTGGCTGCTGCCTCTTCCTTTAGTTTGATCGCCCGCCCGATACAGCTCGCCGCCTAGCAGATCTGGAGTCCCAGCTCGCGCGGTCCCAATCTGACTTGCAAGTCGCGCGTGATCGCCAGTCTTCTCCCGTTTCGGAGCTTCATGAATCAGCTACGTCTCACAAGGCTGCTCAAGCGAAACTAGATCGCCTCGAGGCCACGATCGAGCGTAAGACTCGTCGCTTCCGCACCTTGCGTGACAACTATGAGCGTCGCTTGAAGGTTGCCGACAACACGATCGCCACACATTCCGCCGAGCTTGATCGTTTGCAGGATCGGGTATCGACACCGGATCGGGATCTCCTGCAGGCTTCTCAGCGCGTCCGTGCGGCGATCTCTCAGCGTGATCAAGCCGGGGCAGAGCGTATCGCCACCCGTGAGTACCATCCACGTACTTTTGTCGACATCGTACTAATTCGCATCTTGTGTCACAGAAGATCGTGACTCAGCGGCTCGCGATACTATCACCCGGCTGGAAAAACGGATTAACCAAGTCGAGAAGTCTTAGAGGTCCCGTCAGGATCTCGAGCTCGCGCTCGCCGCGCTTCAGCAGGAGAGAGACGGTCTGGTAGTCCAAAGAAATGAATTGCTCGGCCAGCTTGGCGAGCGTTTCATGGAGGTCACCGATCTGCGGGCTGAGCGGGACCAGGCGCAAGAGAGATTGTCCAGCATGGCGTCTCTTCTCCCTGCTGCTTTGGGCCACAAACGAGCACGTTCCGAGTCCGATTCTCCAGCCCAGTCTGCTCGCGTCTCCAAGGCCGCTCGATCAACTTCAGGTCCCTTCCCGGCTGGCGCTCTGAGTCAGAGCGATGCGTCTAGATCTTCGATCGAAGTATTGTCTGCAGTGGCTGTCGGTCAGAAGTCTGAGAGGGCCGGCATCGTCTCCTCCGTTCGCTGGCCCTCCTGATCATTTTCCTCGAATCAGCTCATTCGACCGCCAAGGGTGCTTCGTCTTCGCCTGCAGCTTTCGATGCGGGCGCCCATTCCGACGGTGGCGAGACCTCTTCCGGCAAATCCAGTTCTACTCACGTTTTTGACTCGGATGCCGCAGGAAGCGACAGTGGTTCAGTGGAGTTGAGTCGCGGTAGGGACCAGCTCGGAATGCCATCCGGTCCACTATCGGACATTGAACTGGCGGATTTACCGCGTACCACATTTCCCCGGTCGGAGTGCATCCCCAGTTATCGTGATCGTCGTAGCTTTCGCAGCCACGATATCGCCCCCTGGTCTGCGCAGGATATTCGTCAGACAAACATCGTGGAGATGGACGCGGATCTGCTGTTTCATCATTTTGCCAAGCCGATGGAATGGCAAATCCCTCTTCGCGACCCCGTGCCTCCGCTTGGAGAATGGCGAAACGATCTAGTGGACGAGAGCAACGTACGCAACTTGATCGAGTCTGCTCCGTGGGAAATCCTTGCTGCCAAGATCGATCCTCTCACGTTCCGCGATCGAGGCTGGTTCCGACACATGATGCGAATCTACGCTTCTTACGAGGATGAGCATCTTTCGGGCTTATTGGGACTCTACCCACGCCTTTCCGGTGAGAATCGTCAAGCGTCGGGCTAGTCGGTACCTGGAAGCCTTCTACACGGATCGCAAGCAACGTTGATCTAGAGCCGGCGCCCGGTGGAAATCGTTCCTCCAACAGGTGCTGATCGGCTTGCTCCGAGGTTACTGCGACCTTGACCTGTTGCTGGATCCCTTCTTCCTGCATTTCCCTCGACCTGGCGAGGCAGGTGCCTGGTATCCTGGGATCGAGGACGGAGCCGATCCTGATGATCTACTGGAGGCGTTGACCATCACGGACGTGGCCGATCGCTGGCGCAATCACTATCGCGAGGTACCAGGGGATCACCCGGCGCTTGGGATCGCTCGCTTGCCTGGCAAGTTCGTGCCCTCCTCTTCCTGATTACGTCCTGCCGTTATGTGTTGAATAGCAACTTGTAGGTTTCAGCGCTCGTCGAGAAGACCCAGTCCGATCTAGTCCGACTTAGTCCATCCGTATCTTCTTCCATTCTTCCGGAATTTCGAGGATGTATTGCCTAGGTTTTCCGGCCTATTCAGGCCCACGGCACTCCATATGTACCACCTCCTCCTTGAAATCTGCAGCCTTCCTGCAGATCCTTCTTCCTCTCACTTCTCGACAGTGGCCAACCCACCGCAGATGTTCCACCGCTTACTCCTCATGCGACTGCATCGCTTCGAACCGGTTGCGATCTGTCTGTCCTCGGGCAGCAGGCCTTCGTCGAAGTCTACGCGATCTGCTTCGCGGTTCGTCAGCGTAGATGTCGGGCGCACTGGGTAGCTCTTCACCAGCTTTAGCTTTGACACATGGACGATCGGGAATAATCAGTACTCTGCGCCGGCGGTTTCCAGCCGTACAGCGTATTGATCGACCGTCTCCGCAACTCTGAATGGACCATGCCACATATGCGCGAGCTTGCGAGCGTAGCCTTCCTTAACTTGATCTAGGTATAACCATACTCGATCTCCATCCTTTATGTCATACGAACTGACGTCTTCGTTGTGTTGATCTGCTCTCCCTTCGATCGCGTCGCGCAGTGCCTCGTTGACTAGCTTGTGTGTCTGCTGGTACTGTTGCTGGACGTTATATCTTCGCTGACGTGGCTCCATGTCCCGGCGCCGAGTGTTCCCAAGCGACAGTGTCGCTTCTAGCGTAGATCGAGCGTCCCATCCATGGACCAAATAGAA